CCTGCTCTAATTGAAATCCAAAAAATAGGGAGAAAAGTGGAGGGTGTTGTAAAATTTTAGATATAATTATATGTATTATTATTGTGGCTATTTGATGATGAAGATGTTTCTTGGTTGGTTGGAATTGAAGCAAGGCCATTAGACATATAACCTTTCAAAGGAATTTGGAATTGGGTTATTTATCTTTCATAAAATGATGTATGTCGATTGGAAGTTTTTAAACAAATAAATGTGTTCTTTTTACAAATCTGAAAACACAAATGGAAAAGCCATTTAAACAAACTGACATGACCTTATAAGAACGGTAAGCGTTCTTACCGTTTGTCCATCAGATTTCTTAGAATCCAACATGATTATTCAAGAAAATGTGAGAGAGCACTATGATGTTTATACAAGTATAGGTAAAAATGTATCCCACACTAGTTTTGGTATGAATGTATCCCACACAACGTAATTAATATTAGAAAATTACAATTAAATGCCAAGAAACTAGAGTTAGTTTCTAATTTTAGACAATGTTTTATTCAAAAAGTAATATTTTTCCAGAAGTGGAATAGAATTTTCCGTCTTTCATAATGTGTTTATTTATAAGTTGTTGAAAGATCATAACTCATAAGTCAATTAGAAAAGAAAAGTATTTCTTGAGATCCTTTTCTTCTAATTTAATTTGTATTCATCAGCAGGCATGGAGATTGTTAGTCTAATTGTCAGAATAGTTGACAAGTATGCGATTGAACCAGCTAGACGGCAAGTGGGTTACCTAACTCACTGCAAAAGCAAACTTGAGAAACTACAGACTGAAGTGGACAAATTAAGTGCCGCTAGAGAGCGGCTAGTGCTCAAGGTTGTAGAAGCTGAAGAAAGAGGTGAAACAATCCACACTGATGTACAGAACTAGCGGAAAGATGCGGATAAGATCACCGAGGAGGCGAACGAATTACGGAAGCCTGATACGCAAGCAAAGATGAGCTGTCTCCGTGGGGTTTGTCCAAACCCAGTGCTCCGATACAAGCTAGGCAGGACATCAACAAAGTTGAAGCAGGCAGTTGTTGAACTCGTTGAACTCTACGCAAAAACAGATTTCTCTAGCATTTCGTACAATGTCCGCCCACAAGAGGTATCCGTGGTATCTGACAAACATTATGAGGCATTTGATTCGAGGATTTCAACTGTAAAGGAAATCATGGATGAACTGAGAATTCCTAATATCGACCTGATTTTGGTGTATGGTATTGGAGGCGTGGGGAAGACCACACTGGTTGAACAAGTCCTTAGGCAAGCTGTAAAAGAAAAGTTATTTGCTGATGCGGTTATGGTAAGAAGTGTGCAAAATCCGGACCTTGAAGGAATTCAAAAAGAAATTGCCAGAAAGTTGGGTATGGAAGTTCAAGAAAGCGAAACTATGTCAGTAAGAGCACTTCATCTATGTAACAGGGTCAAAGACAAGAAAGTTCTTGTAATTTTAGACAACATTTGGGAAAGCATTGACTTGGAGGCGGTAGGACTTCCTTGTCGGTCGAATTGTAGAATACTTTTGACATCCAGAACTCGAAAACTGCTATCCTCAGACATGCGGTTCCAAAAATACTTTGAGCTTCAAGTTTTAAACGAGAATGAAGCTTGGCGTTTATTTGAGACGAAAGCAGGTGATGTTGTTAAAAATCCCGACATACGAATTGTGGCAACCGATGTCGCCAAAAAATGCGGAGGTTTGCCACTTTTGGTTGTCACAGTCGCAAGCTCTTTAAGAAATAGAAGTACTTTACCAGTATGGAAGAATGCCTTCGGTCGCCTAAAAGTGTTTGACAACGAAGACCCAGCCGAACAAGAAGCATACTCGGCTTTAGAGTGGAGTTACAATCAATTGGATGATCAAAAGCTGAAGCCACTATTCTTGATCTGTGGAATTATGGTAAATCACAGGGGATACGCTGATCTGACAGACTTGTTGAAATATACAATTGGTTTGGGTTTGTTTAAGAACTTCGATTCAGTGAAGGACGCACGATATGCATTGCACGCGTGGATTGAAGAGCTTAAAGATTCTGGTCTGTTACTCGACACCGAGGACGATACATTAATCACAATGCATGATTTGTTAAGTGATGTTGCCATCTCGATTGCATCCAAAGGCCACCGTGCCTTACTAAGATCAGAAGGAGATGTCTTGAAGGAATGGCCAAACAATAAGGATTTTTTCTGAAAATTGCACAATGATCTCTTTGAGTTGCAAAAACATCCCTAGGCTTCCTGAAGTTTTGAAATGCCAACAACTGGAGTTTTTGCACTTTGATGGTCGGTTGCTTGAAATCCCAGGTAACTTCTTTGAGGAGACGAAAGAGCTTAAAGTTATGGATTTAACCTGGGTGGATATGTGGTCGTTACCTCCATCTCTTCATCTCCTACAAAATCTTCGTACATTGTGTTTGGATGACTGCAGGTTGGGAGACATAACTCTAGTCGGACAGTTATTGCAACTAGAAATTCTCAGCTTTATGCATTCCACGTTTGAAGAGTTGCCTGAAGAAATAGGGAAATTGACTCGTCTTCGACTGCTGGATTTATTCGACTGCCATAATCTCAAAGTGATTTCACCTAATGTTATATCACGTTTGACAAGTCTAGAAGACTTGAGAATGGAACACAGCTTCAACGGATGGGTGCCCGAAGGAGTAACCGAAGAAAGAAGTAATGCTAGCCTTTCAGAACTGAAGGACTTGCCTCGTTTAGCTGCATTAAGCATACATGTTCCAGATGCTGGCAGTATTCCGAGGGACTTGTTCACTGACAAGTTAAAATGATACCAAATATTAATCGGTGCTTCGTGGGAATGGTACACTGCGGGTGAAACCCGAAACACATTGCAGCTAAAGCTCCCAACTGGCTGTGAATTGGACCATGGTCTAGAAATGTTGTTGAAGAGATCATGTGAATGTTTGTATTTGGATGGGTCGGAGGGAGCTGATAATGTTGCGTACCACTCAGGTAGTGAAGATTTTCAACAACTCAAGCATCTCCATGTCCAAAACAATGCCCAATATACACATATCATTACTGAGGAGGTATGCCACTAGTGTCATTCTTTCCCAGTTACGCCATTAGTACTTGTTTTTTTATTTTTATTCGAGGGATATAATTTACAAAGAAAAATGATACAACCATCATAGAACTCCTAGATTTTGGCTAAATTTACATATATTTGATCATTTGAAGTGATTCGTTTTATCTAGTGCGTATTAAGAAATATTTGTTGGTATAATTTTTTTTATCTAAAGATACCATTTGACTAGATAATAACAATTAATGTGAATTCTCCTCTTAAAAATGGAATGTACAAATACTGCAGGTTGTGTTGCGAAACTTAACAAGCTTGGTGGTGCGTGATTGTAATAGTTTAACTTTTGTGTTATCGTCTTCCATGGCTAGAAATCGTGTATCAACGGAAGAGATAGTGTCAACAAAAGAATATGGTTGTTCTGCATTGAAGGATATAGGGTCATCTGCTATTTCCTTCGAGAATTTAACAACATTGGTAGTAGTTGGTTGTTGCAACTTGAAATATTTAGCAACATGTACGATAGCCAAAACTTTAAAGCGGCTAAGAGAAATGATCGTTGGGAGTTGTGAAAGAATGACAGAAATAGGGGCAACGACATCAAATGGAGATGATGCAGGAAATGATGGTGAGATTTCTTTTTGCCAGTTGCAACGTTTGAACCTTTTCTTTCTACCAAGTCTGCAGGATTTCTTCTCTGGAAATTGCATTGTCAAATTCCCATCCTTGAAAACGGTAAATATATTCGAATGCCCTAAGTTGAAGATTAACCGCTTTGGGTGGAAGAGTTCCCCGGAACTACAAGGAGTGCAGATAACAGAGGAAGAAGTACAAGGAGGGCGTGTTCGTTATTTCTGAGTGTAATGGTTTTGGGTTTTAACGAAGACAATCTTCTGCCCATTTTAAATTAAATTTCGAATAATTTAAAATAATTTTTTGCTTGATTTTTAGTTTTCATAAGCTGGTGTACCCGCCCGTTATTGCGGTGTTTGAAATATTGTTGAAGGTGTAGAAAGTTCTGAATATATATATATATATATATATATATATATATGTGCCTAATAATAGCGTGTACATTGACGGCCTCCAAGATCATCTTGACGCAACATTCTCTCCGTCAATTTCATCTTCAAAATGAAAATAATTAAATTAATCACAAAATTAAGGTGCTTTTAGAGACATAAACTTAAGAACACAAAAAAAAACTGAAACCTTTCGAAAGCACGTATTCTTAATCATATATCAAAATTAAATTCAACCCTTTTTTATTGTTTTTCCCAAAGATCAAACCTTTTTTTATCAATATCTCCCTCTCTTTCGATGGTCATGGGACACTGAATCCTTTTCTTTGAATAAATAGAATCAAATGGATTGATATTAGTTCGACATGACCTATTATCAGAGGTTAATTCCAGTCCATAGATCATTCCTTTTTTGAATATACGAAGTATGAGATTCCAGTAGATTGCCTCTTTTGAAATCTTTAATTCACTTTGATCCACACCCAATCATTCCTTTTTTTTCCTCTACTTTTTGCACAGATATTTGTCTCTTAATAATATTGTACAAATAATCTATTCAATGTCAAACCTAAAAATGATTAGAAACTAAACTTCACGTGCTGAATTGATTAGAACTAAAATTGGCAATATAGCGATCAAATGTTAATGATACAGCAATAATATTTTGAAGGTAAAACGATCAAACGTTAACAACACATTAAAAAAATCAGTCATTTGTACAATTGAGATTTGACTTTGAGAAAAGATCCGTTTGACCATTCTTTTTTTAGGTCCAAGTACCATCCGTGTGATCTAAGTAGTGTTGGTTCTTTTTTTAGGTACAACTATTTGGGAATATAGAAACATTTTGTAAAACAAAGAAGGCGTTCAGCAAATACATAAAATTGAGTGAAATCGAAAGTTGAAACACGAAAGAAAACATATGAAGAAAAACCCCTAATTAGCAGTGAAATTATTGAAAGCTAAAGGACAAACCAAAATCTTCACCTTAACTTTGCTTTCTCCCATTAGAATTTTCTTTGCTTTCTCGCATAACATTCACAATAGTAACACCGCCTGACAGTGACAGTGCTATGATCACAAATGATAAACAACATACTAAACGGAAGTGATGGTTTGAATCTGGAATCAATGCATACCTGACAAGCTGATTTAAAATTGGTTATGCTTTTCCCATGCTCGTAACATTTATCATTTGCAATCGGTAAAATTTTCCTGATAAAGGGAAAGCAAGGAGAGTAAGTTATAAGCAAAGTTGACAGACAAAACAGTTCGATGCAGAGAGAGAGAGAGAGACATAGAGAGAGAGAGAGAACTTACATCAGCTGTGCTCTCAAATACATATGGTAATCTGCATACGAAGAAGCAGTTCTAAATCATCCATTCAGGCCATTAAAACAGTTGTAACATCATCTGCACCGGTGAAGCAAATTCTATGGAACGAAACTTCAAATGAAATGCATATAGATTACCTTAAATTCTGATCCTATGATTTTGCATTTGACTCCAACCAACATGCATGCTTAGAGGATATATACCATCAAGTATAACAGTCAGTAGACGCTCATACCACCACCAGCACATACAAACACAAAAATGCAAACAGAATTTTGATGAGGCTCGGTAATTCTGAAATATCACCTGTGTTTCGTTCTCAGCAACATTGTCTTGTGAGGAATAGCAACTTTTATGGTTCCGCTCAAGAATTTTGCTCATACTGATCAAAGCGGGAAAACAGTCAAACATTTTAAAGTTATAAATTAGAGGTAATAGATAAATAAAGATAGAGAAATCCGAGTGCGAGATGATAGATGAAATCAGATTGAATAGATCAACTGGCGTTAAGACTGTTCGAATACATACAAAGAAGTTTTGAAAACCGAAAACAAACCGACAGAACTGAAAATGGCTGATATAATCAATTTCAGATGTCACAAGAATCCACGGATCACTGCAAAACCAACCCAATAATACAATAACAAAACAAACACAGATCAACAATCCCAAAACTCAAATTCTGACGCAATCAAATTAATCCCCTGCCTAGCCTACTAATTTCTCCAAAATTAAAACCCTAAATGAAAAATTAATGCCCATATCCCCAATTGGTAAATCCCTAATTCAAAAGCCCGATGTAACTCCCTAATTCTTTTATAAATAAGAAATTGCTTACCGGTGGTGGACTTCAGATATGCCAAAATTCACATTATCGCAGCTATGTGATCTTCCCTAGGCAAGTGCATAAACTAACTTACAACACTCGCAACATATGCAATATCAGGATGAGTATGAGATAAAAAAATTAACATCACCACAAGTCTTTAATATCTGCCCCTATTAACAGGAAGCTGATTTGGGCAAATACTCAAATGATATTTTTCTACCATAGGAGTATCCACATATTTACACCCTAATAAGAGTACTTCTATTGAAATTTATCAAGCAAAATAGAACATTTCTTTATGCTCAAATGAATATAAGTTATTGAAGACCCAATATTTTTTTCTATGCCTGTTGTAAAACATCCCCACATTGGCCTGTAATGTTTCAGGATTCATTTCCCAAGCTAGGAAAGTTGACGTTGCCCAGCTATGTAGAGGGTTGGTGTGGCTCTTTTGCAAAGTCAAATCGATTAGGTTTTATGGTGCATACTCTAAAAAGCAACTAGCTTTCCTTCGAGGTATTGAGCATGTAGATTTGACGGAGGGCCGTTACCTGTTATCCAAACGCTCCAACTCTCCTGTCACAAAGACATCATCTCCCCTCACCGAGGCTCCGTCAACTCTCTCCAGTTCGATTTGACGGAGGGTCGGTACCTATTATCCGGTGCCTCCGATGCTTCCGCCGCCATGTTCGATGTCCAGCGCGGGACCGATAACGTGGGCGGCGGAGCTGTCACGAGGCATAAGTGCCTGTTTGCGGTGGATAAGCAGCACGAGCACGGGCATAAGTACGCGGTGTCCTCCGCCGTGTGGTATCCCGTCGACAACGGACTGTTTGTGAAGGGGTCGTACGATCATCACATCAATGTTTGGGACACGAATACGACTCAGGTAGTTATGGACTTCAACATGCCGGGGAAGATGTACCGGACTGCAATGTCGCCGTTGGCAACTTCTCACATGCTCATTGCGGCCGGAACCGAAGATGTTCAAGTCCGCCTCTGTGATATTGCCTCTGGGACTTTTGCTCACACCTTGTCTGGCCACCGCGGTATGTCCCAAAATTCATAGAATTCGACGTTTGATGCACACTTGATACATAGAAAGTTACAAAATTTAAACTTCTTATCATGGTTATGTGAACACATGAAACATTTTGGATGACAATATTGAGGATATAAGCAGGGGTTGTTCTTGAAATTTAGGGTGGACAGTCACGAATGTTGCGAAAATTTGCTTCTTTAAACAATCCGGCCTAGTCGGTTTTCTCAGCATTTTGTAATTTGTAGCATTTGGATTTTCTGGTTGAACCCTGTAACTGTGGACAGCAGGAAATTTACAATACACCGTGTTGGCGGGATTCATGCTTAGAACCTTAGTATCGTAAAGCTAGGTTTCTGCTCTTGGTAGATTCATATTCTTCCTTTGGGTTCTCTAGTTTTTGTTTACAAAAGTACAAGTGTTTTTAGTTTTGTTTCTTGGGTTTAAGTTTTAACATATAACGTAGAATAAAGTTTCGTGCATCTAGAGGGTCCTAAGTGCTGTATTTTCATGATGGCAGATGGTGTGATGACTGTGGAATGGTCTACTTCTAGCGAGTGGGTTTTACTTACAGCATGGATCTATGACTTTTATGACAATGGAACGTGATGAGATCTCAACCAATACGATGATCCACACTGAAGATACAATGTGAATGCACAACCATTATATGCGATGTCTATTTGCTTGTATAAGTCCCGTGTTCCCTCTTTTTCAAATTTCAATTATAACTTCATTGCATTATAGGTCTTTTCCAATCAATGCTTTATAAACTAAAATGGCATTTAATATTAAAGTCGGTTGCTCCAACTTCTATGTCAGTTAACGGGAGTTGTAAGCCCTTTTTCCAACTGTTCTAAGATGAGATTGAGATTTAAAATCACAAAGCCTGTTGAAGTTTTCCTCCATCCATTTATTTATTCCATGAGCTCACTTGTTATCTATGGATTATTGATTATTTTTTAATCCTGTATGAATTGTACTTCATGTCTCTCATTGCAGGAATTGTACACTGGTGGCAATGATAGACAAATTCTAGTTTGGTTGCCGCCCAGAATGGTTTCCGATGAGGTGGGACACCTGATGATTTTGTGCATCTAACCTTCTTAGTTGCTTAGCGGCTTGTATCTTATGCATGTTTGGAAATGCAGGATAAAGGACCATCCAAGGATGAGGATAATTGGAGTGACTAGCATCCGCTGTGCTTGTGATCCTCATTTCCGCTAGGTAGAGCACCTTTGTCTTTCTCTGAGTTTCCTGTTGTGCTTTTAGATCTAGGAGGCTGTATTTGATGGGCACAATGATTAGTAAGTTTATATTTTCTTGCGGCGTGTATATATATGTACATTTAAACACATTCTTAAAGTAGAATCAAGGGAAAAATTCATGGAAAAACTTGTGCACTGATGATTAAAAGAAGAAAAACTGAGTTTGTTATGAATGAAAAATAAAATTTGATAAGTGATATTTAGTTTAATAACACATTAAAAAATTGTACATAATTACCGAATGTATCCGTCAAATATTTCCCTTGATAATTTGTTCAGTTATCTTATATAGTTACACCCTAACAAAATCCTGGAATCAACCTAAAATTCTGTTCGTTGTATCACGCCGAGAAACTAGGTTCGTTGTTGTCCAACAGCATGCAGTCAACATCAATCAAAAACTTGTCACCGGAGGCAACGTTCCCCAATTCTTGGTCTGAAGCTCCATTCTCCGGCTGATTGTCTTCTGCCTGAGTTACTGTGGAGGTGGCAACGGGCGATCCATCAAATTTGATACTTCCTCCGAACGGTATGGTTGCTTGTGTCGTAGAGTTTGCCTGTTTCAATACTTTATTGCACAAGATAGTGCCCTGGAAATCCATGAAAGTATAATTGAGAAACTGCATCCTCTCATTAGGTGTCATCTTTGAAAACCCAAATGAAGTGCTAGTCCATGTATCCAGTGTGCTAGAAGCGGAAGGCAAAACCAGTCTCTCAACTCCCAAGTTCACGAGCTGGTTTTCGAGCTCATCCCTCATAACACGACACATTCCTTGTCTACGATAATGGAACCTAGTTGCCACCAGAGGTACTTCCGCCAACTCACTGTAGATCCTCAGGCTACCCGCGGTGTTCACTTCCACATCTCTCTCCAAAAGCACTGTGTAAAAGCTTCTGAAGTTCAAGCGGCTCAGGTCCGATTCTCTGTTGAAAATAATGTCCTCGACAATGTCACTCTTCTTGTAAGGATCCTGAGAAGGCTCGAAACACTCGTGCATCACACTCAGAGCCAAATTGAGCTTGCTGTAGTTTTCTGTCAAGTCCTCCATATCAGAATCAGATGGAGGAGAAGGCCTCAACTTTGAACTACGGCCCTAAACCTTAAATTCCAAATGAATCCCAGTTTTCAAAATCTTTCATACTCAATCCAATCAATTCAATCATGTTCAAACCAATTCAGTCTAATACGTAAGTAAAAGTTGCTATTCATATTTGGCACATGTAAAGGTATAGATAGTTCCAAGGCAAATTAAATTTGAAGAGTGGTTTTTTTAGATCCCTGGTCAGTGGAAGAAAAATGGTTATTGCATCCTTTTATGATATCAAATGTTAAAATGGAAAACTAACGAAAAGTTCAAAAAAAACTTCAGTTTTAATGAAAAATGATAAATAAAGGTGTAGTGAATAGCATCAAGGAAAGGTAAAAATGTGGTTTTTCATTAAAAGTGAACAGTACCGGGAGTGTTTCGTTAATACTTTCATGTTAAAAAAGGTAAAAATGTGATTTTTCATTAAAAGTGAACAGTACCGGGAGTGTTTCATTAAAACTCTATGTTAAAAAAGTGAAGTATAAATTCTCATCTTGCAGAATGATTAACTCAGAGAAGCAAATGCATAACTGGACAAGATAGTGTTTTAGAGATTTTTTTTTTCTATCCTGATATTAACACACAAAATTGCAATCTATATAATCCTTTAGTTAGAGCATTGTTACGATGTTTCCAGTTTGATAAATAAAATTAAATCCTATTCAATTCAACATTTCAACCGTATGAAAGCATACATGATTTCATTTATTTAGAATTCATAGATGCAGGAAATACCACAACTCCAAGAATTAATTAGGCTTAAAAAACATGGAATCCATCAACAAAATTGGAGTTCGTCGTTGGAAAATGGAAGTTAATTCCATTGTTTCTCTACGTTTCTATCATAGACAATGATATGAAGTGCCTATCGATAGACAAAATCTTGAAAATAATAGCCCTTATGCAAATTGCAATTATTTTCCCTTAATTGATGCGCTTTTCATAACGTTCATGAATTGAGTATAGAATTATTTTTTAATTTTTTAATAGCAACGGTAAAATTTCATTGATAAGAGAAAACATATTACAAATCAGGGAGGCAGAACACTACCATCAACATTACAATCTGAAAGTAAACAAATAAAATCGGAGGCTCCTCAAATCAAGTCCAAAAAGAAGTATCCATGCGGAGAGCATGTCGAGCTAGGAGGTGAGCAACACCTTTGATTTGATTATCTTTGTTACCTAATTTGGTGCCGGCAAGTACTACCGGCAAGACGTGTAATATATTATATTATATTATATTATATGTTTCTACACATTACTGTAGAGATTCAAATTGCACTATTTATGTTTCTTATGGAATGGGCCCTTGATGTTGACTAAATTACAATTGTGCCATTGTGCGTGCGCGCTGTGCTTCACCCAAAACCGCCGGGTTGGGCTGTTGTTTTTGGGCCCGAGTGGGCTGTCCCTTGGGTAGGTGAAATGTCAATTTTGCTTGATTCAATCCAAATCGACGGTCAGGGATTAGGGGTGGTTTGGTCATTTTACACTAAGGGGCGTGGGGGATTGGCGTGCCACGGGGGGCAAGGTGATTTGAGGTACCGTTTGGTACGTGGAACGGGACGGAACAAAGTGGGACAAGGCGTTCCGTCCCATGTTTGGTGCGCCTAAAATGGGTGGAACGAGCTGTTCCACAGGACGAGTTTTAGGTGAATTTTCATTCCACCTCACCCCCTGGAACGACTCGTTCCACATCCGTGGAACACAAAATTATAACCTCTCCGTCTCCTTCTTCTTCCTCCTTGTTTCCATCCGAGGGCATCTTTGCTCCCGCTCCGTTCCGTTCCGTCCTGTCCCATTCCGTCCCGTCCCGTCTGCATACCAAACGATACCTCAGGTAATGGGTATTGAGTTCTGAGGGAATGGGTGTGTTGGCTGCAGACTGGAGAGAGAAGGTGGGGTTGATGGATTGTATCTCTCCCTCTCTGTCACTTCTCTCTTCCTCCATCTATGACATCTCCATTACATTTCTCTTCAGGTCCTCTCTCTCTCTCTCTGAAATATCACATGAGAGAAGGTGGTTTGGAGGATAATACGATTGTTGCTGTAATAACAAGTATGTAGCTCAAGTTTTGAAAATTTAATTATCATTAGTTGCTTAATATCATACTAATTATGTTCAATTTGAGATTATAATCATGTTCAAAGAGAACCCAGTTGGGAAATTTGAGGCCTTTAGCTTGGGGTGTTAGTTATATTTGTTAAATTTGTCACGGATTTTGGGATGATATAATATTTTTGCTCTAACTGCTGCATGATCTTTGTGGTGGGGAATTTGGCGTGGGACGGCTTGATGATTCTACTTTGCTTCCTTCAGGGGACGATTGACCGTTTTCTTAAAAACAGTCCAGCCAGCGCCGAACTTTGGTTGATTTTGGGGCATCTGAGTTACTTAAGCTTGCTTGGTTTTCAAGAAGGGAAGGCAGTGGAGTCAAGCCAGTATGATTTGGTTTTTCTTCATGTTGGGGCTGGTGAGTTGGAATCTTTGGTGGTAGTTGTATCACAAATAGAGGGTAGTAAAGTGTCCCACTTTGCAGCGGGGTACGTAGTTTTTCCTCGAACCTAAATTTCTATCTGATTTCATCAATTGAATCTCTATGTGTGTGTGTTCTTTTGTTAAAGGAAATGCAAACATTTTCTATTTCATCATCTAAGTTTCTATGTGCATCTTCTTTTGTTCAGTTACTTTTCTAATTGATTGTCATGCATTGTGTTTGAAAATGTTTAACCAAACAAAGTTCTTGCATTTATAAATCATTTAATCAAACATAGTTTTTATGTGGTAATCTATGTTGTTGCAACTGAAAAAAAAAATCCAATATTGGCAGGGCTGACTTTTACTGTTGGATGTGATTAAAAATGTAAGAATTTTTTTTCCAAGTTTCTGTTTTTAATGAGGCTCGATTGAAATAAGCATCAACTTGATTGAAATAACTTAACTACCTTACTTCGTCTGAATGGGGAATATTTCATTTCCTTTTGTTTGTTTTTGTAGTGATGTAATTCGGGTTCTGTTTAGTGTGATTTTAAATCAAATGCCTTACTTTGTTTAGATTTTTTGGGCATTTGATTTGTTTACCAATTTTTAAGACAAGTTTGTAGACTCTGCACACTGTGTCGTTCGTTTCGCATTATTGGTTGTGTCGTTCGTTTCGCATTATTGGCTGTGTCGTTAGGATGTAGACAGAATAATTTGCCGTCCAAGCTGTTATATGCTCGTGCCTTTGGCATGCAGCTACCCAAGTGTCTTTGTAGTCTATTGGGGACGCCTAGCACTCTTATTCATACTTTCTGGCCTTATACACAAGCTGATTCTCTGGGAGCACTCAATGCCATGCTTTTTTTTAAAATTTTTTTTTATTTTTTTATTTTTTGTTGTTGTTTTCCATTTTGGTTTGTATCGATATTTTCACAGATTCAAATAACTAAACTACCACCTCAATGACCAGAAAAACAATGACAGCTCAGAAATTGAATTAAAATTCTCATATAAATCACACACAATACACAATCTTTACTCCATTGCTAATGGTTGCACCACTTCTTTTTACTCCATATATATGCACATCCTTATATATTTCAATCTTTAGACTAAATAAAACAAAGAAACATCAACAAATTGCTAATGGATTTACTATGTTTGGGAATTTCAGGAATTTGGGTCGTTGGAGGGAGAAGTTGGTTCCTTTGTCAAAATTCTCATATAAATCACACACAATACACAATCTTTACTCCATTGCTAATGGTTGCACCACTTCTTTTTACTCCATATATATGCACATCCTTTTATATTTCAATCTTTAGACTAAATAAAACAAAGAAACATCAACAAATTGCTAATGGATTTATTATGTTTGGGAATTTCAGGAATTTGGGTCGTTGGAGGGAGAAATTGGTTCCTTTATGTCAAAATGATTCATGTCTGTCCTGGATTGTGGTTTCAAAATAAAAGATCTAATAATTGTGAAATTAAATCTAATAACTAAAACACTCATAACATTAAGTGATACGTTAAAGCCAGATATAAACAAATAAAAAATGGTAACATTGTGAAAAATTTCAGTACATGCAAAATCACATATTTATTTTTATAAATTAAAAAAAAAACAACCTACGTTATGTTTCTTCTTTTTTTCTCTCTTATGTCACGTACCAGAATCTCTAGGAGTGTGATTAGAACCTTGGGAAGGGGAGTGGGAGCAGGGTACAGTGATGGTTTTGATGTTGTTTTATAACTTTCGTGCAAATGGTTTCTGACATTTCATTTTAGCTGAAATTTCTTCAGTCATTGTTTACTAGCAAATTTAATTGTTGGTTTGCTAACCACCTTCTCAGGACTTTGTCACACACTATGGGCTGTGTCGTTTGTTTCGCATTATTGGCTGCATCGTTAGGATGTAGACAGAATAATTTGCCGTCCAAGCTGTTGTTAGGTTGTAGGCAGAATAATTTGTCGTCCAAGCTGTTGTTAGGTTGTAGACAGAATAATTTGCCGTCCAAGCTGTTGTTTGGTTGTAGACAGAATAATTTGCCGTCCAAATTGTTAGATGCTCATGCCTTTGGCATGCAGCCACCCAAATGTCTTAGTAGTCTATTGGGGACGCCTAGCACTCTTATTCATACTTTCTGGCCTTATACGCAAGCTGATTCTCTGGGAGCACTCAATTCCACGCTTTTTTTTTTTTTTTTTTTTTTTTTTTTGTTGTTTTCCATTTTGGTTTGTATCGATATTTCCACAGATTCAAATAACTTAACTACGACCTTAGTTACCGGGAAAAACAATGACAACTCAGAAATTGAATTAAAATTCTTATATAAATCACATACAATACACAATCTTTACTCCATTGCTAATGGTTGCACCACTTCTTTTTACTCCATATATATGCACGTCCTTATATATTTCAATCTTTAGACTAAATAAAACAAAGAAACATCAACAAATTGCAAATGGATTTACTATGTTTGGGAATTTCATTCTGTTTAAATTAGTCACACTTGCAGTTTCTTCATTTCAGCTACCTTCTTTTTCTTTCTTTCTATCTGTTTACTTCAAAGAAAGAGCATCACAAACTCTCTGGTCTAAGCAGAAGAATTTGAAGTGAAGTCACCACCAAAAGTGATAAAGGTACGTCATTTAATCTTCTTATTTAACTTCATTTGCTTTGTTTTTTTGTTCTGTTTTAATTGTTCCTAAATTCTTAGTGAATGATCTTTAGTGAAAGCAGAATCCAGATTTCATGTTATACCACAACAAGATTTTGTTATCTAAAAAAAGTGTCTCACATCCATCCTAATTGGTGACGTGCTTTTTTTTAGTCGACCTTAGTGAAAGTACACACAATTTTACTTGTGGTTTAGGACCCGTTTGATAGCCATTTCATTTAGTTGTAGGGTACACATATTGTTAAATTAGAGGAAGATAAAACATAGTGCTTTTAGATTTCTTGGTTCTTTTTGCTTTTAGTTAGCAAATTGCAATTGTATCCAGAAGAACTTTGCAAGAAAGAAATAAATTATTAAGTACTCTCCCTTCTTACTTCATTAGCTCATTCTTAATTTACAGAACGACCGATTTGTATTGGTGCTCCAAAGAACGTATATTGAAGAGCAACTCACTTCATCCATAACCAACAAAGATAAGGGTACGTTCTTTAATTATAATCATATTTGATTTAAGTTGGAATCTTGGATTTCATTTATGGTAATTTGGTGGCTGTCTTCATATTTGATTTGATTTAGGGGCTTTTCACATGTAATTAGCCTTTGATAATAGAGAAAAATGCTTTGAATTCAATAGTTTGTAGAATCAATTTACTTTATAACACTAAAGAATCTTTACAAACAAAAATCAATCGGAGCATGACAAGTGGATAGATAAGGGCGTCGGAATCTGGATGTGGGTGGGTGGAGCTTATAATTTAGGGTTTAGGACTCTGCCTTTGGCGGAGTCCTAAACTTTTGATTGCTAAACTCACTAGCTATATTTCTGCAATATATTTCACACTTTTTAGTTTTCTTAGCTCAGTGAATATGTTATTTACCGCATTCTCTGCCTTTTTTTCTTTTTTTCTTTTTAAAAAAATTGTTTTCTTATGAATTAATAATAAATAAAAATCTGAGAACACAATTTTTGGAAAGAACAGTGTAAGTATACAACCGATATTATTAATTGTATGTAAAAATTGATTAAAAAAACTATGAATGTATCAATACATTATATGAGTCACCAACTTTTACCAAATCAATAACTTACAACTAATAATGGGAGTAAATTTTGGTATAAGTGTTATACAAGTGTTGTTTTATAAAAATTGTACGCAAGTCTATTATGCTCGAGATTATAACATGAAAAACACATTTGTGGAGTTTGTTTTGTTTAAATTTGGGAGTTTTGTGATATAATTTTAATCTGTGAATTTTTTAATTCAGATTATTTTATACATTCTGATGAGAGAGTGAGTTGAAATAGTGATTTGTTTTTTTTTCATTGTATATAGGCAGAAGTTGGTTCAAGGTTGAATTAATAGTTATATCTTTTCCAATTCCATGTTTGTAGATAATAACGATGCACTCATACAACGTTCTCTATCTAGCTAAGAATGTTGGTAGTGGTGAAGTCCTGCTGAATTGCTAAAAAAAGGTCCTCTCCAATTGGTTTGAACCAAACTCCAATCCCAAAACAAAACGAAAAAAAAACCACTAGGTAACCACACTATCCTTATTTTCTTTGTAGTATAATTATGTTGTCATATAAAATTGCTTCATGTGTTTCAATATTTTTCTTTCCTTGCGTAGGGTGCTTCCTTAACAATCATCAAATACTGGACAAAAGTTTTTAGCGTTGAAGCAAAATTTTTTTGCTTGTTTTGGCCTACTCTTTGTATCTTCGAAATACGACCTCTTTTACAATTTTTAATCCCGTAACAACGTGTGGGCAAAACTTTTTAATCCATCCTAAGTACACACAGTTTTACATATGATTTAGGGTCGGTTTGATAATCATTTCATTTAGCTTTAGGGTACACATGTTAAATTAGAAGAAGAAGATAAAACTTAATGCTTTTAGATTTCTTAGTTCCTTTTGCTTTTAGATAGCAAATTGCAATTGTATCCAGAAGAACTTTGCAAGAAAAAAAAGAAATTATTACGTTCTCTCCCTTCTTACTTTATTAGCTTATTCTCAATTTACAGAACAACCGATTTGTATTGATGCTCCAAGAAACGTATATATTGAAGAGCAACTCACTTCATCCATAACCAACAGAGCTAAGGGTACGTTCTTTAATTATAACCATATTTGAATTGAGTTTTGCATCTTGGATCTCATTTATGGTAATTTGGTTGTTGTCTTCATATTTGATTTGATTTAGGGGCTTTTCACATGTAATTAGGCCCTTAATAATAGAGAAAAATGCTCCGGATTCAATAGTTTGTAGAATCGATTTACTTTATAACACTAAAGAAATTTTACAAATAAGAATAAATTGAAGCATGACAAGTGGATAGATAAGGATGTCGGAATCGGGATGTGGGCGAGTGTAGATTATAATTTAGGGTTTAGGACTCGGCCTTTGGATGGAGTCCTAAACTTATTATCGCTTAACCCTAGGTCATAAAAATTAACCCTATGCTTTTTATAAAAAAAAAAAAAAAAAAAAAAAAACAACAACAACAACAACAACAATCGTGAGTTTTTTGGTAAACAGTGGGGCATTTGGTTTGCTTCTAAATCTGGTGCCATGCAAGCTTGTACTTTTTAGTCAATGTATTAATTATTTATCATGTTTATGTTAAATCTGCAATAGTTCAATGTACATACGTGATGTAATCTTGAAAAAGAATGAAGAAAATCAGATAAATAGAGAGATGAAATGCTGAGCTAATAGTAGCAGCTCAGCATCCATCATGCATTCATATCTCTTCTCCTTCACTACCAAACAAAGACAATTACTCTGAGGCCTTCAATCTAAAAAACTAATTTGGTGCATACACTTGTCTGATGAAATCAAGTCCACACCTAGTTCACTAACAACAAAGTAACTCTAGCAGCTACATAACACTAGCCTTATGGAATTCAAGCAAACAAACACATACAAATTTCTTGTGTTCCAAGTTGTAGGATCAAAACCAAATCTCATTTAGCTCCCCGTTCATTGGTTGGTTTTAGCTTTTAGGGAATTATTTAAATAATGGAATATAAAATTGACTATTTGTCAAGCCCTGCTGGAATTGAAATCCAAAAAATAGGGAGAAAAGTGAAGGGTGTTGTAAAATTTTAGATATAATTATATGTATTATTATTGTGGCTATTTGATGATGAAGATGTTTCTTGGTTGGTTGGAATTGAAGCAAGGCCATTAGACATATAACCTTTCAAAGGAATTTGGAATTGGGTTATTTATCTTTCATAAAATGATGTATGTCGATTGGAAGTTTTTAAACAAATAAATGTGTTCTTTTTACAAATCTGAAAACACAAATGGAAAAGCCATTTAAACAAACTGACATGACCTTATAAGAACGGTAAGCGTTCTTACCGTTTGTCCATCAGATTTCTTAGAATCCAACATGATTATTCAAGAAAATGTGAGAGAGCACTATGATGTTTATACAAGTATAGGTAAAAATGTATCCCACACTAGTTTTGGTATGAATGTATCCTACACAACGTAATTAATATTAGAAAATTACAATTAAATGCCAAGAAACTAGAGTTAGTTTCTAATTTTTGACAATGTTTCATTCAAAAAGTAATATTTTTCCAGAAGTGGAATAGAATTTTCCGTCTTTCATAATGTGTTTATTTATAAGTTGTTGAAAGATCATAACTCATAAGTCAATTAGAAAAGAAAAGTATTTCTTGAGATCCTTTTCTTCTAATTTAATTTGTATTCATCAGCAGGCATGGAGATTGTTAGTCTAATTGTCAGAATAGTTGACAAGTATGCAGTTGAACCAGCTAGACACCAAGTGGGTTACCTAACTCACTGCAAAAGCAAACTTGAGAAACTACAGACTGAAGTGGACAAATTAAGTGCCGCTAGAGAGCGGCTAGTGCTCAAGGTTGTAGAAGCTGAAGAAAGAGGTGAAACAATCCACACTGATGTACAGAACTGGCGGAAAGACGCGGATAAGATCACCGAGGAAGCGAACGAATTACGGAAGCCTGATACGCAAGCAAAGATGAGCTGTCTCCGTGGGGTTTGTCCAAACCCGGTGCTCCGATACAAGCTAGGCAGGACATCAACAAAGTTGAAGCAGGCGGTTGTTGAACTCTACGCAAAAATAGATTTCTCTAGCATTTCGTACAATGTCCGCCCACAAGAGGTATCCATGGTATCTGACAAACATTATGAGGCATTTGATTCGAGGATTTCAACTGTAAAGGAAATCATGGATGAACTGAGAATTCCTAATACCGACCTGATTTTGGTGTATGGTATTGGAGGCGTGGGGAAGACCACACTGGTTGAACAAGTCCTTAGGCAAGCTGTAAAAGAAAAGTTATTTGCTGATGCGGTTATGGTAAGAAGTGTGCAAAATCCGGACCTTGAAGGAATTCAAAAAGAAATTGCCAGAAAGTTGGGTATGGAAGTTCAAGAAAGCGAAACTATGTCAATAAGAGCACTTCATCTATGTGACAGGGTAAAAGACAAGAAAGTTCTTGTAATTTTAGACAACATTTGGGAAAGCATTGACTTGGAGGCGGTAGGACTTCCTTGTCTGCCGAATTGTAGAATACTTTTGACATCCAGAACTCGAAAACTGCTATCTTCAGAGAAGCGGTTGCAAAAAGACTTTGAGCTTCAAGTTTTAAACGAGAAAGAAGCTTGGCGTTTATTTGAGACGAAAGCAGGTGATGTTGTTAAAAATCCCGACATACGAACTGTGGCAACCGATGTCGCCAAAAAATGCGGAGGTTTGCCACTTTTGGTTGTCACAGTCGCAAGCTCTTTAAGAAATAGAAGTACTTTACCAGTATGGAAGAATGCCTTCGGTCGCCTGAAAGTGTTTGACAACGAAGACCCAGCCGAACAAGAAGCATACTCGGCTTTAGAATGGAGTTACAATCAATTGGATGATCAAAAGAAACGACTATTCTTGGTCTGTGGAATTATGGTAAATCACTGGGGATGGGCTGATCTGACAGACTTATTGAAATATACAATTGGTTTGGGTTTGTTTAGGAACATCGATTCAGTGGAGGACACACGATATGCATTGCACGCGTGGATTGAAGAGCTTAAAGATTCTGGTTTGTTACTCGACACCGAGGACGATACCTATATCACAATGCATGATTTGTTACGTGATGTTGCCATCTCGATTGCATCCAAAGGCCACCGTGCCTTACTAAGATCAGAAGGAGATGTCTTGAAGGAATGGCCAAACAATAAGGATTTTTCTGAAAATTGCACAATGATCTCTTTGTCTTGCAAAAACATCCCTAGGATTCCTGAAGTTTTGAAATGCCAACAACTGGAGTTTTTGCACTTTAATGGTTACTTGCTTGAAATCCCAGGTAACTTCTTTGAGGATATGAAAGAGCTTAAAGTTATGGATTTAACCAAGGCGTGTATTTCGTCGCTACCTCCATCTCTTCATCTCTTACAAAATCTTCGGACATTGTGTTTGGATCAATGCATGTTGGGAGACATAACTCTAGTCGGACAGCTATTGCAACTAGAAATTCTCAGCTTTATACATTCCGAGTTTGAAGAGTTGCCTGAAGAAATAGGGAAATTGACTCGTCTTCGACTGCTGGATTTAAGGAACTGCCATGATCTCAAAGTGATTTCACCTAATGTTATATCACGTTTGACAAGTCTAGAAGACTTGAGAATGAAATACAGCTTCAACGGATGGGTGCCCGAAGGAGTAACCGGAGAAAGAAGTAATGCTAGCCTTTCAGAACTGAAGGACTTGCCTCGTTTAGCTGCATTAAGCATACATGTTCCAGATGCTGGCAGTATTCCGAGGGACTTGTTCACTGACAAGTTAAAAAGATACCAAATATTAATCGGTGCTTCGTGGGAATGGGACACTGTGCGTGAAACCCAAAACACATTGCAGCTAAAGCTCCCAACTGGCTGTGAATTGGACCATGGTCTAGAAATGTTGTTGAAGAGATCATGTGAATGTTTGTATTTGGATGGGTCGGAGGGAGCTGATAATGTTGCGTACCACTCAGGTAGTGAAGATTTTCAACAACTCAAGCATCTCCATGTCCAAAACAATGCCCAATATACGCATATCATTACTGAGGAGGTATGCCACTAGTGTTATTCTTTCCCATTTACGCAGTACTTGTTTTTTTATTTTTATTCGAGCGATATAATTTACAAAGAAAAATGATACAACCACCATAGAACTCCTAGATTTTGGCTAAATTTACATATTTTTGATCATTTGAAGTGATTCGTTTTATCTAGTGCGTATTAAGAAATATTTGTTGGTATAATTTTTTTTTATCTAAAGATACCATTTGACTAGATAATAACAATTAATGTGAATTCTCTTCTCTTAAAATGGAATGTACAAATACTGCAGGTTGTGTTGCGAAACTTAATAACCTTGGTGGTGCGTGATTGTAATAGTTTAACTTTTGTGTTATCGTCTTCCATGGCTGGAAATCGTGTATCAATGGAAGAGATAGTGTCAACAAAAGAATATGGTTGTTCTGCATTGAAGGGTATAGGCTCATCTGCTATTTCCTTCCAGAATTTAACAACTTTGGAAGTAGTTGGTTGTTGCAACTTGAAATATTTAGCAACATATACGATAGCCAAAACTTTAAAGCGGCTAAGAGCAATGAGGGTTGGGAGATGTGAAAGAATGACAGAAATAGGGGCAACGACATCAGATGGAGATGATGCAGGAAATGATGGTGAGATTTCTTTTTGCCAGTTGAAAAGTTTGAGCCTTTCCTCTCTACCAAGTCTGCAAGATTTCTTCTCTGGAAATTGCATTGTCAAATTCCCATCCTTGAAAACTGTAAATATATACGAATGCCCTAAGTTGAAGATTAACAGCTTTGAGTGGAAGAGTTCCCCAGAACTACAAGGAGTACAGATAACAGAAGATTATTTGGGGTGGTGATGAGGATGAAGATGATGACTGTTGATGCAGATGATGGTGTTGGTGAGGATGACAATGTTAATGATGACGGAAGATATGATGATTCTAACAAAGAGAGCGAAGGTGATGCAGATGTTGCTGATGGATCGTGGTGGTCGTGGCAAAACTACACTCAATACATATAAAGAATTAACTTTGCTGCATAGTTAGTTCTCTTGTTAACATGTTTGTTATTTCTGTGTGTAATGGTTTTGGGTTTTAACCAAGACAATCTTCTGCCCATTTTAAATTAAATTTCGAATAATTTAAAATAATTTTTTGCTTGATTTTTAGTTTTCATATGCCGGTGTACCCGCCCACTATTGCGGTGTTAGAAATATTGTTGAAGGTGTGCCTAATAGTAGCGTGTACATTGACGGCCTCCAAGATCATATTGACGCAACATTCTCTCCACCAATAAATTAAAGATAAAACTAAAATTGGCAATATAGTGTTCAAATGTTAATGATACAGCAATAATATTTTGAAGATAAAACGATCAAACGTTAACAACACATTAAAAAAATCAGTCATTTGTACAATTGAGATTTGACTTTGAGAAAAGATCCGTTTGACCATTCTTTTTTTAGGTCCAAGTACCATCCGTGTGATCTAAGTAGTGTTGGTTCTTGGTACAACTATTTGGGAATATAGAAACATTTTGTAAAACAAAGAAGGCGTTCAGCAAATACATAAAATTGAGTGAAATCGGAAGTTGAACACGAAGGAAAACATATGAAGAAAAACCCCTAATTAGCAGTGAAATTATTGAAAGCTAAAGGACAAACCAAAATCTTCACCTTAACTTTGCTTTCTCCCATTAGAATTTTCTTTGCTTTCTTGCATAACATTCACAATAGTAACACCGCCCGACAGTGTTATGATCACAAAATGATAAACAACATACAAAACGGAAGTGATGGTTTGAATCTGGAATCAATGCATACCTGTAAAGCTGATATAAAATTGGTTATGCTTTTCCCATGCTCGTAACATTTATCATTTGCAATCGGTAAAATTTTCCTGATAAAGGGAAAGCAAGGAGAGTAAGTTATAAGCAAAGTTGGCAGACAAAACAGTTCGATGCACAGAGAGAGAGACATAGAGAGAGAGAGAGAGAGAGAGAGAGAACTTACATCAGCTGTGCTCTCAAATACATATGGTAATCTGCATACGAAGAAGCAGTTCTAAATCATCCATTCAGGCCATTAAAACAGTTATAACATCATCTGCACCGGTGAAGCAAATTCTATGGAACGAAACTTCAAATGAAATACATATAGATTACCTTAAATTCTGATCCTATGATTTTGCATTTGACTCCAACCAACATGCATGCTTAGAGGATATATACCATCAAGTATAACAGTCAGTAGACGCTCATACCACCACCAGCACATACAAACACAAAAATGCAAACAGAATTTTGATGAGGCTCGGTAATTATGAAATATCACCTGTGTTTCGTTCTCAGCAACATTGTCTTGTGAGGAATAGCAACTTTTATGGTTCCGCTCAAGAATTTTGTTCATACTGATCCAAGCGGGAAAACAGTCAAACATTTTAAAGTTATAAATTAGAGGTAATAGATAAATAAAGATAGAGAAATCCGAGTGCGAGATGATAGATGAAATCAGATTGAATAGATCAACTGGTGTTAAGACTGTTTGGATTTTACCATGCGTACATACATACAAAGAAGTTTTGAAAACCGAAAACGAACCGACAGAACTGAAAATGGCTGATCTAATCAATTTCAGATGTCGCAAGAATCCACGGATCACTGCAAAACCAACCCAATAATACAATAACAAAACAAACACAGATCAACAATCCCAAAACTCAAATTCTGACGCAATCAAATTAATCCCCTGCCTAGCCTACTAATTTCTCCAAAATTAAAACCCTAAATAAAAAATTAATGCCCATATCCCCAATTTGTAGATCCCTAATTCAAAAGCCCGATGTAACTCCCTAATTCTTTTATAAATAAGAAATTGCTTACCTTAGTGGCTTGAACGCCGGAGATAGAGCAGAGAGGATTGTGTTCGACGGCATGGCACGGTAAAGTGCGCCGCGGTTCGTATGGAAACAGCTCGTCGGAATTCGAAGACCCAGACCCTAGCAGCTTAACACTTGAAATTGATTTGTTGGTTTCAAACTTCGATTGTGTGGGAATTCTCTTCGTTGATAAGAGGGTTTGAGGTTTTATGCGATTTCTTTGTTTGAGGTTTACAATTTTTTTTGCTAATTGTGAGCGACAGAGATGAATTTCACCTATTTTTTTGTGAAAGGTGAGTGAAAAAGGAAAAGAACTCAAAAGATAAAAAGAAAGAAAGAAAGAGGAAGAGAAAAAGAAAGAGTGATGAAAAAGGGGCCGGTTGTAGAATATAACGAGAATGGAAGGTTTAAAAGAAAATGGGTAAATTACATTTTATCCTTCTCAAGTTTGAAGTCGATTTTAATTTTTTACAATATTTTTAAAACATTTTAATTTTATATATTTATTTATCATTGTATTTCAATTTTATATATTTACTAGCCTCTCTGCACGCACTAACGTGCGTGCGAGAGGCATTTTTGCATCACGGGCGCTACGCGCCCCAAAGATGTGTTGTTTTAGATATTCTTATATTTCTTAAGTGATTATTTTATAAAATGTGTTTGTGTCCATCACAACAATTTCTTATTAGTTTCAATTTTTTATTATGTTCAATCATCTAACTTAATCTTTTTGCACCTACCCATTGTACCCAAAAATGAAATTTATGAATTGTACACTAACCAATCCACCTTTTTTTTCTTTTTTTTTTTGCTTGCTAATTATTATGGTGTCTTTTTTTTTTGTTTGGCTGATAGAATTTGATTTCACGAAATGAGTTATGCTTGATCATTATTATGACTTTGGTAATTAAGTTACTCAGTCTAGTTAGAATTTTGTTATCTCCATCAGTACCATTTTACCCTTATATATTGTACAGAAGATCAAGAGTTAGTTTCCTTAAACTCTCATATAAAAAATAAAAAAATATGCTTAATTATTTAATGTTGTATAGAAAATATGAAATGATCAATATATTTTGTAACATGAGGATTAGTGGTTGTATTAAAAGGGTGCACAACAACATTTTTTTATTATGGTGGACAAAAAGGTATTATGGGCAATATTTGGCGTCATTCGAGCAGGTTGGCAGATCATTTGTTCAATGGTTGTGTGAATGGGATAGTTGATGCAGTTAGAGGAGTGAGTACATAATTATGGGTGTGCCATTTTGGGTTGGGACTGAGATGTTCAACATTAGAGCATGGGCTAGGCTACGTAGTTCCAATTGCTTGAGTTGAAGAAAGGTTGATGAGATACTGGTGTTACCGTACAATCATCCCATCATTCCAAAGTGATAATGGTGTTATCGCATGCCATATTGTCATATTGCCACATTTGTTGAATAATTTAGGAGCATATATTCCATCCAATTTGCACATATGTGAGTAATCTCTCATACATTTTTTACTATTTTTTCTTTAAAACAACAACGAAGATAAAATGGGAAACATATACTATTTATAAATAAAAAAATTTGAAAATATGACATGTAATTTGATTTCTAAATACATATTGACAACACTTAATGTCCTTAAATCAAAATGTTTCAGATTCATAAGTTTTCAATCAAAGTTATAGGCTAGCTAGGGATGAACTCCTAATATATGAAGCAAAGCAAAATATGGACAACATGTACATATGTAAACATAGCGCCTACGTGTGAAATCAAAGCCATGCTTGCCACCCATTTGCTTGCACTTGATGCTTTAGATTTTCATGGTTAATCTGCAAGCAATGATGATAAAATAAGAAGTCTAACTATAATGCACAATCCCAACTATAAAGATTGAAAGCAACTTAACCTAAATACCTTTAAGTTTGACAATTTTCTCATGGCAATACTTTTACTCCAGTTACTTGTAGAATACTGAAAGATAAATATATTTGTCAAGTTTGAGGTAACAAATTGTAACAATATTTACAAAATTAAATAATAAGAAATATTACCTTAATCTTGTACTTCAACCTTTGTACTTTGAGACGGGTGTGATGCTTGTAAAACTGACAAAAAATGCAATTTTATTTATATTTGAAAATTGAATGCAATTTGAATTTATAGTATACTTTTGTATGAAAATAAGAGAAGACTTACCGTATTTAGAAAAGTTGTTTGGCCACTATTAATCTTTTTTCTGCACCCATAAATTGTTTTATTTTATTTTATAATTTGAGATAATTAATTTGTAGAATGATATAGAGAATGCCATTAAAAATAAATAGGTAAGAAATGGTGTTGTACCTTATTTGTTGGACTTTATTCCAAATACGTATGATCTGAGGAGTTGTTGAAGGTTTTAATTCTTCCACAGCCTTTTTCATGCACCACCTATATATTGAAGGTATATATAATGTTAGATTTCTTGTAACAAATTTGTATATAATTTAGGATACATACTGCTCATGCTTCTTCTTTTTCCACTCTTTGAGAATCAGTTGGCTTAGATCAGTAGTTTTTACTCCGACAGATATCTCCCAACCAGGTGTAAAAATACAGACACGTCTGTTTGAGATCTTATCAATAGGTTCCTTCTTCATTTTTTGTGGGTATTCTTGTAAATATCCTAAGAATGAAAACAAATAATTTTTAAAATTACCATAGCACACGTATAGCACATTAAGATAATCAAAATTGAAATTCACAATCTGACCAAAATTTAAAAAACGCACAATAAAGATTTCAAAGGAAGAAATTAAAAAACCCAACTGAAGCTAAATCTGGGAATCATACAATTACATATTATGCTTACATGGAAATGTGTAAAATGAGTACAACCATGCAGGGAAAGGAAGTGAAAACCCACCAATCTCGTACGACTGTGCTTCCATCACCATGCTTCTAGTATCCAATTAATGACAGCATGCATGCTAAAAATTGACGGAGATGGGGATTGAGCTCATATCATTTACAAACACAAAATAAAAAAGATCAAAGAAAAAGAACAACTTAGAGAAGTGAAGGCGGAGCAAAAAAAAAAAGGGGAGTATAAGATTTGGCCACATAATCAAAGGAGATGGGGAGTACATATAATAATATTGTAGCCGGAATGGTACAAATGGGAATGTACGTGGGAACTAAGAAATTACTACTTGGTAGTGGGAGAAGTTCACCGTTTTTTTTTAAACTAACGATAACCTCTATCCCTTTTCTCCCACATTATTATTATTATTTTTAATATAATTTGGTTAGATATTAATATCTCCTCCTAAAATGGAGGAGATACGTTCCTGTCCATTTATTTTTTTTAACTTTTTCTTCCTTTTTTTTTTCCAATAAAACAAATTTTAATTTTATGTTTAATATTTGTCTCCTAAAATGGAGAGCAGTTACGTTGTTTTTGTTTAATATAATTTTGTTAGATATTTTTAATATAATTTTGTTAGATATTAATATTTCCTTCTAAAATGGAGGAGAAGTTATTCACAACATTCCTGTTGTTTTATTTGTTTTTTCGTTTCCTTTTTTTTTTTTTTTCCAATATAACAAATTTTAATTTTTCTGTTTAATATCTCTGTCTCCTAAAATGGAGAGCACTTATTCACTATGTTGCTTTTTTTTTTTTACTTAATTTTTTAATATTTCTCTCCTAAAATGATGTTCAGTACAATTATCTCTGACTTTAATATCTCATCCTAAAATGGAAGAGTTATTCATCACGTCCCCTACTTTTATTTGTTTCTTTTTGTTTAATATAATTTTGTGAGATATTAATATATCATCCTCAAATGGAGGAGTTACCCATCACGTCCCTTTACTTTTATTTGTTGTTTGTTTGTTTAATAATCTAAAATATAGCAAGAACCGTACTAATCAAAATGGAAGCATAAACATTCTAAGAAATATTTGTTAAAAATCATGCATCAAGAAATTAAGGTGAATAAAAGAGAAGAATAACTAAAAAAGAAACCCGGCTAGTCAAAATTTTTTTGAGGCGCTTTCCCATAGATATCTATTTAAAAAACCACACGATAAATGCTCATAGCAGTTTCAAAAATGACGCCACATTCATCCTCTTCTCTTCCGAACGGTTTTGCCATTTTAGTTTGGATTATCTATTTTTTTTCTATTTATTTTAATTTGTTTTATTTTTAATATTTTTTTGTTGCCTTTTTATTATTTATCTCTCTCTCCTCTCCATAACTACTAACTTTTAGAGGATAATTATCATGATTTTTTTATTTTAATTACCATGTTTTGTTTCCAATACAGTTTCTGATAAGTTAAATTCTTTTTTACGTTTTTGTCCTTGATTTTGGGATTTTTTGGACTTTGATTGTGAAGGAAACAAAGGGACTTTTTTGGTATTTCTAAATGCTTCACCAAACTGGCCTTCTCCCTTTATATATATAGACTAGCCTCTCTGCACGCACTAACGTGCGTGCGAGAGGCATTTTTGCATCACGGGCGCTACGCGCCCCAAAGATGTGTTGTTTTAGATATTCTTATATTTCTTAAGTGATTATTTTATAAAATGTGTTTGTGTCCATCACAACAATTTCTTATTATTTTCAATTTTTTATTATGTTCAATCATCTAACTTAATCTTTTTGCACCTACCCATTGTACCCAAAAATGAAATTTATGAATTGTACACTAACCAATCCACCTTTTTTTTCTTTTTTTTTTTGCTTGCTAATTATTATGGTGTCTTTTTTTTTTGTTTGGCTGATAGAATTTGATTTCACGAAATGAGTTATGCTTGATCATTATTATGACTTTGGTAATTAAGTTACTCAGTCTAGTTAGAATTTTGTTATCTCCATCAGTACCATTTTACCCTTATATATTGTACAGAAGATCAAGAGTTAGTTTCCTTAAACTCTCATATAAAAAATAAAAAAATATGCTTAATTATTTAATGTTGTATAGAAAATATGAAATGATCAATATATTTTGTAACATGAGGATTAGTGGTTGTATTAAAAGGGTGCACAACAACATTTTTTTATTATGGTGGACAAAAAGGTATTATGGGCAATATTTGGCGTCATTCGAGCAGGTTGGCAGATCATTTGTTCAATGGTTGTGTGAATGGGATAGTTGATGCAGTTAGAGGAGTGAGTACATAATTATGGGTGTGCCATTTTGGGTTGGGACTGAGATGTTCAACATTAGAGCATGGGCTAGGCTACGTAGTTCCAATTGCTTGAGTTGAAGAAAGGTTGATGAGATACTGGTGTTACCGTACAATCATCCCATCATTCCAAAGTGATAATGGTGTTATCGCATGCCATATTGTCATATTGCCACATTTGTTGAATAATTTAGGAGCATATATTCCATCCAATTTGCACATATGTGAGTAATCTCTCATACATTTTTTACTATTTTTTCTTTAAAACAACAACGAAGATAAAATGGGAAACATATACTATTTATAAATAAAAAAATTTGAAAATATGACATGTAATTTGATTTCTAAATACATATTGACAACACTTAATGTCCTTAAATCAAAATGTTTCAGATTCATAAGTTTTCAATCAAAGTTATAGGCTAGCTAGGGATGAACTCCTAATATATGAAGCAAAGCAAAATATGGACAACATGTACATATGTAAACATAGCGCCTACGTGTGAAATCAAAGCCATGCTTGCCACCCATTTGCTTGCACTTGATGCTTTAGATTTTCATGGTTAATCTGCAAGCAATGATGATAAAATAAGAAGTCTAACTATAATGCACAATCCCAACTATAAAGATTGAAAGCAACTTAACCTAAATACCTTTAAGTTTGACAATTTTCTCATGGCAATACTTTTACTCCAGTTACTTGTAGAATACTGAAAGATAAATATATTTGTCAAGTTTGAGGTAACAAATTGTAACAATATTTACAAAATTAAATAATAAGAAATATTACCTTAATCTTGTACTTCAACCTTTGTACTTTGAGACGGGTGTGATGCTTGTAAAACTGACAAAAAATGCAATTTTATTTATATTTGAAAATTGAATGCAATTTGAATTTATAGTATACTTTTGTATGAAAATAAGAGAAGACTTACCGTATTTAGAAAAGTTGTTTGGCCACTATTAATCTTTTTTCTGCACCCATAAATTGTTTTATTTTATTTTATAATTTGAGATAATTAATTTGTAGAATGATATAGAGAATGCCATTAAAAATAAATAGGTAAGAAATGGTGTTGTACCTTATTTGTTGGACTTTATTCCAAATACGTATGATCTGAGGAGTTGTTGAAGGTTTTAATTCTTCCACAGCCTTTTTCATGCACCACCTATATATTGAAGGTATATATAATGTTAGATTTCTTGTAACAAATTTGTATATAATTTAGGATACATACTGCTCATGCTTCTTCTTTTTCCACTCTTTGAGAATCAGTTGGCTTAGATCAGTAGTTTTTACTCCGACAGATATCTCCCAACCAGGTGTAAAAATACAGACACGTCTGTTTGAGATCTTATCAATAGGTTCCTTCTTCATTTTTTGTGGGTATTCTTGTAAATATCCTAAGAATGAAAACAAATAATTTTTAAAATTACCATAGCACACGTATAGCACATTAAGATAATCAAAATTGAAATTCACAATCTGACCAAAATTTAAAAAACGCACAATAAAGATTTCAAAGGAAGAAATTAAAAAACCCAACTGAAGCTAAATCTGGGAATCATACAATTACATATTATGCTTACATGGAAATGTGTAAAATGAGTACAACCATGCAGGGAAAGGAAGTGAAAACCCACCAATCTCGTACGACTGTGCTTCCATCACCATGCTTCTAGTATCCAATTAATGACAGCATGCATGCTAAAAATTGACGGAGATGGGGATTGAGCTCATATCATTTACAAACACAAAATAAAAAAGATCAAAGAAAAAGAACAACTTAGAGAAGTGAAGGCGGAGCAAAAAAAAAAAGGGGAGTATAAGATTTGGCCACATAATCAAAGGAGATGGGGAGTACATATAATAATATTGTAGCCGGAATGGTACAAATGGGAATGTACGTGGGAACTAAGAAATTACTACTTGGTAGTGGGAGAAGTTCACCGTTTTTTTTTTAAACTAACGATAACCTCTATCCCTTTTCTCCCACATTATTATTATTATTTTTAATATAATTTTGTTAGATATTAATATCTCCTCCTAAAATGGAGGAGATACGTTCCTGTCCATTTATTTTTTTTAACTTTTTCTTCCTTTTTTTTTTCCAATAAAACAAATTTTAATTTTATGTTTAATATTTGTCTCCTAAAATGGAGAGCAGTTACGTTGTTTTTGTTTAATATAATTTTGTTAGATATTTTTAATATAATTTTGTTAGATATTAATATTTCCTTCTAAAATGGAGGAGAAGTTATTCACAACATTCCTGTTGTTTTATTTGTTTTTTCGTTTCCTTTTTTTTTTTTTTCCAATATAACAAATTTTAATTTTTCTGTTTAATATCTCTGTCTCCTAAAATGGAGAGCACTTATTCACTATGTTGCTTTTTTTTTTTTTACTTAATTTTTTAATATTTCTCTCCTAAAATGATGTTCAGTACAATTATCTCTGACTTTAATATCTCATCCTAAAATGGAAGAGTTATTCATCACGTCCCCTACTTTTATTTGTTTCTTTTTGTTTAATATAATTTTGTGAGATATTAATATATCATCCTCAAATGGAGGAGTTACCCATCACGTCCCTTTACTTTTATTTGTTGTTTGTTTGTTTAATAATCTAAAATATAGCAAGAACCGTACTAATCAAAATGGAAGCATAAACATTCTAAGAAATATTTGTTAAAAATCATGCATCAAGAAATTAAGGTGAATAAAAGAGAAGAATAACTAAAAAAGAAACCCGGCTAGTCAAAATTTTTTTGAGGCGCTTTCCCATAGATATCTATTTAAAAAACCACACGATAAATGCTCATAGCAGTTTCAAAAATGACGCCACATTCATCCTCTTCTCTTCCGAACGGTTTTGCCATTTTAGTTTGGATTATCTATTTTTTTTCTATTTATTTTAATTTGTTTTATTTTTAATATTTTTTTGTTGCCTTTTTATTATTTATCTCTCTCTCCTCTCCATAACTACTAACTTTTAGAGGATAATTATCATGATTTTTTTATTTTAATTACCATGTTTTGTTTCCAATACAGTTTCTGATAAGTTAAATTCTTTTTTACGTTTTTGTCCTTGATTTTGGGATTTTTTGGACTTTGATTGTGAAGGAAACAAAGGGACTTTTTTGGTATTTCTAAATGCTTCACCAAACTGGCCTTCTCCCTTTATATATATAGATTAAACAATCAGTTAAGTAAATTGTAGAGTGATGACGTAGTAAATATGAAATCCACATTTGTGCTGATGTGATTACTAAATTTGTACCACGTAACGAAAAAAAATAATTTTTATGCATTTAAAATATAATAATATTTACCTTATTTAAATTATTAAAAAAAAACAAACAACCTAGAAAACGTAGAACCCATCTTCTCCCTCCCTTCCCGACCCCCTCACCTTCACCGAGCCCAAACCCCTCCACCTCCGATGCTCTTCACCGCCACCATGTCCAACCCTCCCTCCCCTCCCTCCTCCTCAACTCCCACCTCGACGCCATCCCCGCCGAGCTCGACAATTGCTTTTTCTGGGTTTGTGTTCTGTAACCTCACCCATCCTCGTCTATCTTTAACCTCACCCATCCTCGTTAGAAATCAAACAACTAAACTCACTTTTCTCCCAACTAACCTAAAACCCTCACCTTCACCCTGCTAGCTACCACAATCAGTGCTCTCACAAATTAGTGAAATCACAACCACCGTACGTTGATTGAAAAATTCCATGGCTTTCTGAAGCAAATAAAACTTGGGTTGCAAGGAGAAAACCCCAAAAAAATCCCAATTCAACGAAATGGTTGTCCTGGAGACGAAATCTCAAATCCCCATTTTTCTTAGTTCAAAGCTTCAGCTTTCTCTTTAGAATTAGAAATGAATAAAAGTAAAAGATTAATTTGTGGGAAATTAAGAGGCTTGGGTTGTGGGTTTGCAATGATGCACAACTATTGGCTAAAGAATGGATTATTGGTTGTTACAGTGTTGGTGGTTGGAGAAAAAAAATAGAGGAATGTGGGGTGGGGCGGGGTTACCTCTCTGTCTTCGACACCCACATGGTGGTCATGGTAGGGAAGAAGTTCAATGTTGGCAAGGTAGCAGGGAGGAAGAACCGCAGCAAAGTCGTTGACTTTGGGGCTTCGTGGGGCTTTAATGTGTTGTTGAACTCGGGGATTGCTGAAGCTCGAGGCTTCGTGGTGGCTGCAGTGTGTTGTCGAGGCTTCGGGGATTGCTGAAGCTCGAGATTTATTGTCAACCACCAAGACATCTCAAAAGTTTACGTAACTAAAGAGGTTCACATATTCCATATGTCATACCTCTATACTTAGCTTCCAGACGACCTTGACACCACTTTCTGCTTCTTACTACACCACGTAACCAAATTACCTCCAACAATCGTAAAATATCTAGATGTAGAAAGTCTGTCAGTAACATTGCTAGCCCAATCTGCATCTGTAAACCTCTCAACTTTTAGATGTTCATGTTTTTTCATAAAGTATTCCTGTACTAGGTGCAGATATGCCACAATTTGCATTACCGGAGCTATGTGACATTCATTGGGCGAGTGCATACTTCAGAGTGTGAGAGAGAAAACGAATTAACAACAAAACAAGTTCCGGTTTGAGAATTCATACTTCAGAGTGTGAGAGAGAAAACACTGCGATACGACACCGTTGCGTTGTGAACCTCTGCTTCGCTTTTGCATTTGGTACAATAAGAAGATGCTCAGAAAATGTGGCGGGAAATCGGAGACAGGGAAGCGGGCAACCTCCACCCAAATTTGTTCTCGAATCGAATCAGGTCATCTCCCCTCACCGAGGCTCCGTCAATTCTCTCCAGCTCGATTTGACGGAGGGCCCGTACCTGTTATCCGGCGCCTCCGAAGCTTCCACCGCCGTGTTCGATGTCCAGCGCGGGACCGATTATGGAGGCGGAGCTATCACGAGGCACAAGTGCCTCTTTGCGGTGGATAAGCAGCACGAGCGCGGGCATAAGTACGCGGTGTCCTCCGCCGTGTGGTATCCCGTCAACACCGGACTGTTTGTGACGGGTTCGTACGATCATCACATCAATGTTTGGGACACGAATACGACTCAGGTAGTGATGGACTTCAAGATGTCGGGAAAGGTGTACCGGACTGCAATGTCGCCGTTGGCAACTTCTGACATGCTCATTGCTGCCGGAACCGAAGATGTTCAAGTCCGCCTATGTGATATTGCCTCTGGGGCTTTTGCTCACATCTTGTCTGGCCACCGCGGTATGTCCCAAAATTCACAGAATTCGACGTTTGATGCACACCTGATACATAGAAAATTTAAGCTTCTTATCATGGTTATGTGAACACATGAAACATTTTGGATGACAATATCGAGGATATAAGCAGGGATTGTTCTTGAAATTTGGGGTGGACAATTACGAATGTTTTGAAAATTCGCTTCTTTAAACAATCCGGCCTAGTCGGTTTTCTCAGCGTTTTGTAATTTGTAGCATTTGGATTTTCTGGTTGAACCCTGTAACTGTGGACAGCTAGAAATTTACAATACACCGTGTTAGCGGAATTCATGCTTAGAACCTGAGTATCGTAAAAGCTAGGTTTCTGCTTTTGGTAGATTCATATTCTTCCTTTGGGTTCTCTAGTTTTTGTTTACAAAAGTACAAGTGTTTTTAGTCTTGTTTCTTGGGTTTAAGTTTAAAATATAACGTGGAATAAAGTTTCGTGCGTCTAGAAGGTCCTCAGTGCTGGTATATTTCATGATGGCAGATGGTGTGATGACTATGGAATGGTCTACTTCTAGCGAGTGGGTTTTGCTTACAGGTGGATGTGATGGTGCAATACATTTTTGGGACATTAGACAGGCCGGATGTTTTCATGTTTTGGACCAATCTTAGTCTCAGCTTGCGAGGTGACCACCAATCCTGGAACGCTCTGCCACAATTAAAGTTTTCTTCTTTTCTTGGCTGAGCCAAAAAAGTTTGTTTTCAAATTACTTATCTCGCACTTAATTTGTTCAGTTTTTATGAATATTATTTGCTTCGCTGTTAGTTAGCCTGTTTCACCAGCATTTCTGAAATGGTTTTATATACGTTTTTGGGAAATGTTGTTTCCTCTTTTTCATCCAAACGCTTCAACTCTCCTATCACAAGGACCATCCAAGGATGAGGATAATTGCAGTGACTAGCATCCGCTGTGCTTGTGATCCTCATTTCCGCTAGGTAGAGCACCTTTGTCTTTCTCTGAGTTTCCTGTTGTGCTTTTAGATCTAAGAGGCTGTATTTGATGGGCACAATGATTAGTAAGTTTATATTTTCTTGCGGCGTGTATATATATGTACGTTTAAACACATTCTTAAAGTAGAATCAAGGGAAAAATTCATGGAAAAACTTGTGCACTGATGATTAAAAGAAGAAAAACTGAGTTTGTTATGAATGAAAAATAAAATTTGATAAGTGATATTTAGTTTAATAACACATTAAAAAATTGTACATAATTACCGAATGTATCCGTCAAATATTTCCCTTGATAATTTGTTCAGTTATCTTATATAGTTACACCCTAACAAAATCCTGGAATCAACCTAAAATTCTGTTCGTTGTATCACGCCGAGAAACTAGGTTCGTTGTTGTCCAACAGCATGCAGTCAACATCAATCAAAAACTTGTCACCGGAGGCAACGTTCCCCAATTCTTGGTCTGAAGCTCCATTCTCCGGCTGATTGTCTTCTGCCTGAGTTACTGTGGAGGTGGCAACGGGCGATCCATCAAATTTGATACTTCCTCCGAACGGTATGGTTGCTTGTGTCGTAGAGTTTGCCTGTTTCAATACTTTATTGCACAAGATAGTGCCCTGGAAATCCATGAAAGTATAATTGAGAAACTGCATCCTCTCATTAGGTGTCATCTTTGAAAACCCAAATGAAGTGCTAGTCCATGTATCCAGTGTGCTAGAAGCGGAAGGCAAAACCAGTCTCTCAACTCCCAAGTTCACGAGCTGGTTTTCGAGCTCATCCCTCATAACACGACACATTCCTTGTCTACGATAATGGAACCTAGTTGCCACCAGAGGTACTTCCGCCAACTCACTGTAGATCCTCAGGCTACCCGCGGTGTTCACTTCCACATCTCTCTCCAAAAGCACTGTGTAAAAGCTTCTGAAGTTCAAGCGGCTCAGGTCCGATTCTCTGTTGAAAATAATGTCCTCGACAATGTCACTCTTCTTGTAAGGATCCTGAGAAGGCTCGAAACACTCGTGCATCACACTCAGAGCCAAATTGAGCTTGCTGTAGTTTTCTGTCAAGTCCTCCATATCAGAATCAGATGGAGGAGAAGGCCTCAACTTTGAACTACGGCCCTAAACCTTAAATTCCAAATGAATCCCAGTTTTCAAAATCTTTCATACTCAATCCAATCAATCCAATCATGCTCAAACCAATTCAGTCTAATACGTAAGTAAAAGTTGCTATTCATATTTGGCACATGTAAAGGTATAGATAGTTCCAAGTCAAATGAAATTTGAAGAGTGGTTTTTTTAGATCCCTGGTTAGTGGAAGAAAAAGGGTTATTGCATCCTTTTATGATATCAAATGTTAAAAAGGAAAAGTAACGAAACGTCCAAACAAAACTTCAGTTTTAATGAAAAATGATAAATAAAGGTTTAGTGAATAGTATCAGGGAAATGTAAAAATGTGATTTTTCGTTAAAAATGAACAGTACCTGAAGTGTTTCGTTAAAACTCCCATGTTAAAAAAGTGAAGTATAAATCCTCATCCTACAGAATGATTAACTCAGAGAAACAAATGCATAAATGGACAAGATAGTGTTTTAGAGATTTTTTTTTTCTATCCTGATATTAACACACAAAATTGCAATCTATATAATCCTTTAGTTAGAGCATTGTTATGATGTTTCCAATTTGATAAATAAAATTATTTTTCTAATAGCAATGGTAAAATTTCATTGATAAGAGAAAACATATTACAAATAAGGGAGGCAGAACACTACCATCAACATTACAATCTGAAAGTAAACAAATAAAATCGGAGGTTCCTCAAATCAAGTCCAAAAAGAAGTATCCATGCAGAAAGCATGTCGAGCTAGGAGGTGAGCAACACCTTTGATTTGATTATCTTTGTTACCTAGTTTGGTGTCGGCAAGTACTACCGGCAAGACGTGTAATATTAATATATTACACTTTAAATTTATGATATGTCAGTTATGTTTGTGTCACTTGCATTATATTATACGTGATAGTACTCTACATATTACTGTAGAGATTCAAATTGCACTATGTATGTTTCTTCTGGAATGGGCCCTCGATTTTGACTGAATTACAATTGTCCCATTGTGTACGCGCGCTGAGCTTCACCCAAAACCACCGGGTTGGGCTGTTGTTTTTGGGCCCAAGTGGGCTGTCCCTTGGGTAGGTAAAATGTCAATTTTGCTTGATTCAATCCAAATAGATGGTCAGGGATTAGGGGTGGTTTGGTCATTTTACACTAAAAGACGTGGGGGTTGGGGTGGCACAGGGTGGGGGGAAGAGGGTGATTTGAGGTAATGGGTTCTGTGTCACTTTCTTTTCCTCCATCTATGACATCTCTTCAGGTCCTCTCTCCCTCTCTCTGAAATATCACATGAGAGAAGGTGGTTTGGAGGATAATACGATTGTTGCTGTAATAACAAGTATGTAGTTCAAGTTTTGAAAATTTAATCATCATTAGTTGCTTAATATCATACTAATTATGTTCAATTTGAGATTATAATCATGTTCAAAGAGAACCCAGTTGGGAAATTTGAGGCCTTTAGCTTGGGGTGTTGGTTAAATTTGTTAGATTTGTCATGGATTTTGGGATGATACATGATCTTTGTGGTGGGGAATTTGGCGTGGGACGGCTTGATGATTCTACTTTGCTTCCTTCAGGGGACAATTGACTGTTTTCTTAAAAACAGTCCAGCCAGCGCCGAACTTTGGTTGATTTTGGGGCATCTGAGTTACTTAAGTAGAATCAAGGGAAAAATTCATGGAAAAACTTGTGCACTGATGATTAAAAGAAGAAAAACTGAGTTTGTTATGAATGAAAAATAAAATTTGATAAGTGATATTTAGTTTAATAACACATTAAAAAATTGTACATAATTACCGAATGTATCCGTCAAATATTTCCCTCGATAATTTGTTCAGTTATCTTATATAGTTACACCCTAACAAAATCCTGGAATCAACCTAAAATTCTGTTCGTTGTATCACGCCGAGAAACTAGGTTCGTTGTTGTCCAACGGCATGCAGTCAACATCAATCAAAAACTTGTCACCGGAGGCAACGTTCCCCAATTCTTGGTCTGAAGCTCCATTCTCCGGCCGATTGTCTTCTGCCTGAGTTACTGTAGAGGTGGCAACGGGCGATCCATCAAATTTGATACTTCCTCCGAACGGTATGGTTGCTTGTGTCGTAGAGTTTGTCTGTTTCAATACTTTATTGCACAAGATAGTGCCCTGGAAATCCATGAAAGTATAATTGAGAAACTGCATCCCCTCATTAGGTGTCATCTTTGAAAACCCAAATGAAGTGCTAGTCCATGTATCCAGTGTGCTAGAAGATTGGTCTTGTGGGTGAACTTATCAGGGTTCATTTTCCTTCACCAATTAATGATACCTAACAAACACTGCAAACAACATGGGTGAGATAATTAAAAAAATACAGTAAAAATTCAAACTTTTTGTATAATTTCCTTCAGTTTAAACAAAACTTAGAATTTTGCATCTGGGAAACTTCCAATTCAAATAAAAATTAAAAATCTCCATCTGGGTTTCTTTAATTTCAACTAGAAATTAAAATATTTTATCTGGGTTCTTTTCAATTCAACCCAAGAACACAAAGAACCTTTGATCATACCTTTCCCAATTTACGAAACTCATGAACTTCTTAAATATTCCATCTTGGTAACATGCAATTCAAATAAAAATTAAAACTTGTTCACCGGGGTTCCTTTCAATTTGATTCAACAAATATCGAAAGGCGAAAACAGAGCGTATAAATAAAACATACAATCATCGATCATGTCTTCCCAATTTACGAAATTCTTGAACTTCTTCAATTCTTTTTCCGAGATTGAAAAATGACAGAGACTTTACTACTTAAATCAATTCCTTCTAAACCCAAAACCCATATGGAAATCAACTCTAAAAACTCAAAAGATTCACACAGAGAGAGAAGCAAGAGAAATCTTGGACGTACCTTATGAGGAGGAAGCTGAAGCTTTTCTGCAACAATGGCGGGTAAATCCACAACTGCGTTTCAAGAATTTGATATGGTATTTCCTTCGGTTGATCGAATCGTTATGAGTTTTTTCTGATGGGTGCTTGGGAGAGTGTGAGTGAGAGATTTTAAGGAGGATGAACCGACGACACGCAAGCAGCTAGAACATACTAGACGTAGCGGGAAGCTTTCGGTGCTTTTTCGTAATTTCAAGAACGTCTTTTCATATTGTAAATCAACGACCTTATCGGATATATATTTTAATGAGCACGGAATACGGATGCGCTCGGCATATATCATTTCACAAATATAGAAAATCTTGATTTTAAGTATCTTTTCATTTATATAAAAGAATTTTAACGAAAAATTCTCAGTACGGTTTATTTTAACGAAAAATTGTATTTTTACATTAGAAAGTCAATCCTGGTACTATTTATTTTACCCGTTATTTTGTCTTTATCGTTAAAACTCAAAATTTTGAAACTATTTTCATTAGTTTTCCTTTTATATAATGATTATAGGTTGCAGGTGGCCCTTTACCACTATGATAGAAAGGAATGATTTCCTTATATGACGGCATGGGTTCGAATTTCATCAGTGGTAAATTAATTTCTAACTTAACGACAATATCTTGGGATTTACCTTTATTAACCTTATAATTTTGTGCTCAGGACACCATCTTAAGAGTTTTAACATGATTGTTCTTCTATTTCATAGATTCGAAATGTGTTTAGTATCTCATTTAATTGGTGTACCTTTGCTCATTTAACTCAAATTTAATACGATTTGGTCCTCCAATTTCTCTGAATTGCTAACAGATTTACTTTCTTTGGATATTTCAGGAACTCTGGTTGTGGGAGGAAGAAGCCGGTTCCTTACTATTTTTAGGTATACGATTATGTGCCTTGATTGCATGTTCAAAGTCTAATTAGTTATATAAATTTTTAATTTATCTTTGCAAAGCTTTCGTACTTGGATTTTAAATATGTGATTGGTTTGTGAAAAATAAACGAGAAAATTAATCATGGGGACATTCTTATTCAACTTAAATGTGTTTTATTCATTCGATTATGTCTAAAACAGTTAGTTCCTGCAGCAATGCGCGGGCGTAATTTCTAGTTATACCTATAATAAGACCATCTCCAAACATTGGGAACAAAATTTTTTTAACCAAAGATTATTAAGAAATGAATTTAAGTTGAATTATGTCCATTAAGTAACTTTTAAAAAAAAAATAAAAATTATGTAGGTTATTCTAATTTTATTTCATAAATATTTTAACTTAAAAATATTAGATTCCGATATATAATGAAAAAACACTAAACTGATTATTTTCTGAAACAAAGCATTGCATTTTGATTTAATTTTAGACTGTTAGATTTTTTTATTTTATTTTATATATAGTTAAATATATCATATTCAACTTCATCCATTATATTAAATGTATTTATAAATTTATAAATTTTAAATTAATAATTAATAATTTTAAATTAAGACAGTTGGATTAACCAACCGTCCAGATCAATGTCATCCTATCAAAAGACCTATCAAAATAATGCAATTGGGATTGTACATGAGTGACCGACAACTCATCAGGCAGGACCCCACTTCCCTCAGCCTGTCCCCTTTCTTTTACATTTTGGCGAGTTTCCTCCCTTTCAGCGCGTCAATCATGCGCCAATCCGACTCATCATTGCAATCCACTAATTCCTCTCTTCCACGCCTCATTTACTCTCTCAGCACAATAACTTCTTAGCAAAATCTTTTTGATAAGAAGTCACCATATTCCTATCTTGGTAAATCAAAACGCATACAGGCAAAACCTTTTAGATTCTCGCTTGATCCTTTTTACGAGGATTTTAAAGATTCTTTAATTATAATTGTTCATTGTACATTGTATGATCAGTTTTTGTCAGATATTGTTTATATTTAATTTTAAATATAAAAAATTATAATAATTTATAACTGCACAATGTACGATGAATGGATGTGATTTGAGAATCTCCGGAATCCTCACTTAGGAAAACGGAGTTGTCCAATCTCTACATTAATAAATTAATGTTAAAGACTTCAATTAAAACCAAAAAGTCAATAAGATCTCAATGAAAGAACATTAGTATCTAGAGACTAAATATAATTTTTTTTAAAAAAAAAAGGAATAATTGCCTAAGAGAACAGCGGCACGAATGCCAAATGCCGCTTCAACGTGACGTATATGCTTTGTTTCTGCTGTCGAGGATTGATTCGTAAGCCATCGTGCTTGTTGATGTGAGATTCTGGAAACAAGGTTTACGTTCTATAAAAAATAGTTGCTTGCCGACACTGCCACTATAGATTCACCACTCAAACTTGTTATTCCTTTCGTCCGAGGAGAGTAAACAGCAGCATCAAGGCAAATCGTTTTGGTAATACGAGGAAAGAATCTTGCATTGTAGAAAGCAAGCGGGTAAACATAGGTATCCACTGTCTATATAAACTAGCAAAGAAGAACAGCAATTGCACAACCATTCTGCATCAATTTCCTCTCCATATATTAGACTTCTTTTTTAAATAAGGTAGATATTTAGCCTGCTTTCATTTGTATTAGATAGAAATAATTGTTTTGATAAGTGTGAAATATATTGTCTGCATGCTTAATAACAAATTATTTGCTCTTTTTTTGCTGCCAGCTATTCTCAACTCCATTGGTAGTGACACAGAACAATAATTTACGATGTGCTTCAAATGTATGCAAATTCCGGAACACTGAAGCAAATTATTCTCTCCATAGTGCTCAAGTCGATGACAGTTGGCATGCTAATGCTACTTTCCAACAAAACATTATTTAAACTATTTTTTTTACCATAAGCAAGGTGATTACTAGAGTTCTTTATACTTCAGTATAGCAGGACATATGTTAATCTGGGAATTTCACATTTTCTCCTTCTTTCTATTTTTTTTGTAATTTCCTATGCCATTTGGAACTCAAGTATATAATTATAAAAATTGAAGATATTTCTAATATAAAAAAAAAAAAAAAAAGCTTTTCAGCATTACTGCAGTTTTCAGTTTTTTTTTTTTTTTTTTTTGGGAATTCATGGATAATTAGCTTTACTATATTTGTTGGTGCATTTAGTAACTTATTTGATTTTAGTTTTCCTAGCCAAGTCAATATGTAATTTACTGCATTCTCTGCCTTTAAAAAAAAAATTGTTTACTTACGAAGTAATAATGAATAAAAATCTGAGAACAGAAATTTAGAAAAGAACGAGTGCAAATATACAACCATATTATTAATTGTATGTAAAAATTGATTAAAAATACTATGAATGTATCAATACATTATATGAGTCACCAATTTTTACCAAATCAACAACTTACAACTAAGAATGTGAGTGAATTTTGGTACAAGTGTTGTTTTATAACAACTGTATGTAAGCCTATTCTACTCGAGTTTATAACATGAAAAACACACATGTGGAGTTTGTTTTGTTTAAATTTGGGAGTTTTGTGATTTTGAGATTTATAAATATCAAAATTTTAATCTTTTTTTGGGTGAATTTTTTTTAATTCACATTATCTTATACATTCTGATGAGGGACTGAATTGAAATTATGATTTGCTTTTTTCATTGTATATAGGCAGAAGTTGGTTCAAGCTTGAATTTATAGTTATATCTTTTCAAATTCCATGTTTGTGGATAATAACGATGCCTCATACAACGTTCACCATCTAGTTAAGAATGTTGGTAGTGAAGTCCTGCTGGAAAAAAACGTCCTCTCCAATTGGTGCAAAACCAGACTCCAATCCACACAACAACAACAAACTAGGTAAGCATACTCTATCCTTTTTTTCTCTGTAGTATGATTCTATTGTCATATAAATTTGCTTCGTGTGTTTCAATATTTTTCTTTCCTTGCCTAGGATGCTTCCTTAACAATCAACACATATTGGACAAAAGCTTTTAGTGTTGAAGCAAAATTTTTTTTGCGTGGTTTGGCATACTCCTTGTATCTTCGAAACACAATCTCTCTTACAATTTTTAATTTCCTGGCAACGCACGGGCATAACTTTCTAGTCCATCCTATTTGGTGACCTGCATCTTTTTTTAGTTGACCTTAGTGAAGTACACAATTTTACATGCGGTTTAGGGCCCATTTGATAATCATTTCATTTAGCTTTAGGATACACACATTGTCAAATTAGAAGAAAAATATAAAACTTAGTGCTTTTAGATTTCTTAGTTGTTTTTGCTTTTAGTTAGCAAATTGCAATTGTATCCAGAAGAACTTTGCAAGAAAAAAAGAAATTATTACGTACTCTCCCTTCTTACTTTATTAGCTTATTCTCAATTTACAGAACGACCGATTTGAAATGGTGCTCCAAGGAACGTATATATTGAAGAGCAACTCACTTCATCCATAACCAACAGAGCTAAGGGTACGTTCTTTAATTATAACCATATTTGATTTGAGTTGGAATCTTGGATCTCATTTATGGCATTTGGTTTGCTTCTAAATCTGGTGCCATGCAAGCTTGTACTTTTCAGTCTGTGTATTAATTATTTATCGTGTTTATGTTAAATCTGCCATAGTTTAGTGTACATACGTGATGCAATCTTGAAAAAGAATGAAGAACAAATCAGAGAATTTTAGAGATCAAATGCTTGAGCTAATAGTAGCAGCCCAGCATCCTTCATACATTCTTATCTCTTATCCTTCACTACCAAACAAAGACAATTACTTTGAGCCCGTCAATCTAAAAAACTAATTTGGTGCATACACTTGTCTAATGAAACCAAGTCCACACCTAGTTCACTAACAACAAAGTAACACTAGCAGCTACATAACACTAGCCTTATGGAATTCAAGCAAACAAACACATACAAATTTCTTGTGTTCCAAGTTGTAGGATCAAAACCAAATCTCATTTAGCTCCCCGTTCATTGGTTGGTTTTAGCTTTTAAGGAATTTTTTAAATAATGGAATATAAAATTAACTTTTTGTCAAGCCCTGCTCGAATTGAAATCCAAAAAATAGGGAGAAAAGTGGAGGGTGTTGTAAAATTTTAGATATAATTATATGTATTATTATTGTGGCTATTTGATGATGAAGATGTTTCTTGGTTGGTTGGAATTGAAGCAAGGCCATTAGACATATAACCTTTCAAAGGAATTTGGAATTGGGTTATTTATCTTTCATAAAATGATGTATGTCGATTGGAAGTTTTTAAACAAATAAATTTGTTCTTTTTACAAATCTGAAAACACAAATGGAAAAGCCATTTAAACAAACTGACATGACCTTATAAGAACGGTAAGCATTCTTACCGTTTGTCCATCAGATTTCTTAGAATCCAACATGATTATTCAAGAAAATGTGAGAGAGCACTATGATGTTTATACAAGTATAGGTAAAAATGTATCCCACACTAGTTTTGGTATGAATGTATCCCACACAACGTAATTAATATTAGAAAATTACAATTAAATGCCAAGAAACTAGAGTTAGTTTCTAATTTTAGACAATGTTTTATTCAAAAAGTAATATTTTTCCAGAAGTGGAATAGAATTTTCCGTCTTTCATAATGTGTTTATTTATAAGTTGTTGAAAGATCATAACTCATAAGTCAATTAGAAAAGAAAAGTATTTCTTGAGATCCTTTTCTTCTAATTTAATTTGTATTCATGAGCAGGCATGGAGATTGTTAGTCTAATTGTCGGAATAGTTGACAAGTATGCAGTTGAACCAGCTAGACGCCAAGTGGGTTACCTAACTCACTGCAAAAGCAAACTTGAGAAACTACAGACTGAAGTGCACAAATTAAGTGCCGCTAGAGAGCGGCTAGTGCTCAAGGTTGTAGAAGCTGAAGAAAGAGGTGAAACAATCCACACTGACGTACAGAACTGGCGGAAACACGCGGATAAGATCACCGAGGAGGCGAACGAATTACGGAAGCCTGATACGCAAGCAAAGATGAGCTGTCTCCGTGGGGTTTGTCCAAACCCGGTGCTCCGATACAAGCTAGGCAGGACATCAACAAAGTTGAAGCAGGCGGTTGTTGAACTCGTTGAACTCCACGCAAAAAAAGATTTCGCTAGCATTTCATACAATGTCCGCCCACAAGATGTATCCGTGGTATCTGACAAACATTATGAGGCATTTGATTCGAGGAATTTAACTGTCAAGAAGATCATGGATGAACTGAGAATTCCTAATACCGACCTGATTTTGGTGTATGGTATTGGAGGCGTGGGGAAGACCACACTGGTTGAACAAGTCCTTAGGCAAGCTGTAAAAGAAAAGTTATTTGCTGATGCAGTTATGGTAAGAAGTGTGCAAAATCCGGACCTTGAAGGAATTCAAAAAGAAATTGCCAGAAAGTTGGGTATGGAAGTTCAAGAAAGCGAAACTATGTCAATAAGAGCACTACATCTATGTGACAGGGTAAAAGACAAGAAAGTTCTTGTAATTTTAGACAATATTTGGGAAAGCATTGACTTGGAGGCGGTAGGACTTCCTTGTCTGCCGAATTGTAGAATACTTTTGACATCCAGAACTCGAAAACTGCTATCCTCAGACAAGCGGTTGCAAAAAGACTTTGAGCTTCGAGTTCTAAACGAGGAAGAAGCTTGGCGTTTATTTGAGACAAAAGCAGGTGATGTTGTTAACAATCCCGACATACGAACTGTGGCAACCGATGTAGCCAAAAAATGCGGAGGTTTGCCACTTTTGGTTGTCACAGTCGCAAGCTCTTTAAGAAATAGAAGTACTTTACCAGTATGGAAGAATGCCTTCAGTCGCCTAAAAGTGTTTGACAACGAAGACCCAGCCGAACAAGAAGCATACTCGGCGTTAGAGTGGAGCTACAATCAATTGGATGATCAAAAGCTGAAGCCACTATTCTTGATATGTGGAATTATGGTAAATCGATGGGGATACGCTCATCTGACAGACTTGTTGAAATATACAATTGGTGTGGGTTTGTTTAAGAACTTCGATTTTGTTTAAGAACTTCGATTCAGTGGAGGACGCACGATATGCATTGCACGCGTGGATTGAAGAGCTTAAAGATTCTGGTCTGTTACTCGACACCAAGAACAATACATTAATCACAATGCATGATTTGTTACGTGATGTTGCCATCTCGATTGCATCCAAAGGCCACGGTGCCTTAGTAAGAGCACAACGAGATGTCTTGAAGGAATGGCCAAACAATAAGGATTTTTCTGAAAATTGCACAATGATCTCTTTGTCTTGCAAAAACATCCCTAGGCTTCCTGAAGTTTTGAAATGCCAACAACTGGAGTATTTTTATTTGCACTTTAATCGTGACTTGCTTGAAATCCCAGGTAACTTCTTTGAGGAGATGAAAGAGCTTAAAGTTATGGATTTAACCGGTGCGCGTATTTCGTCGCTGCCTCCATCTCTTCTGCTCCTAGAAAATCTTCGTACATTGTGTTTAGATGGTTGCGTGTTGGGAGACATAACTCTAGTCGGACAACTATTGCAACTAGAAATGCTCAGCTTTATAAATTCCAAGTTTAAAGAGTTGCCCGAAGAAATAGGGAAATTGACTCGTCTTCGACTGCTGGATTTAAGCTGGTGCTTTGAACTCAAAGTGATTTCACCTAATGTTATATCACGTTTGACAAGTCTAGAAGACTTGAGAATGAAAGGCAGCTTCAATGGATGGGTGCCCGAAGGAGTAACCGGAGAAAGAAGTAATGCTAGCCTTTCAGAACTGAAGGACTTGCCTCGTTTAGCTGCATTAAGCATACATGTTCCAGATGCTGGCAGTATTCCGAGGGACTTGTTCACTGACAAGTTAAAAAGATATGAAATATTAATCGGTGCTTCGTGGGAATGGTATGATGCGGATGAAACCCTCAACACATTGAAGCTAAAGCTCCCAACTGGCTGTGAATTGGACCATGGTCTAGAAATGTTGTTGAAGAGATCATGTGAAAATTTGTATTTGGATGGGTCGGAGGGAGCTGATAATGTTGTGTACCACTCAGGTAGTGAAGATTTTCAACAACTCAAGCATCTCCATGTCCAAAACAATGCCCAATATACACATATCATTACTGAGGAGGTATGCCACTAGTGTCATTCTTTCCCATTTATGCCATTAGTACTTGTTTTTTTTATTTTTTATTCGAGCGATATAATTTACAAAGAAAAATGATACAACCACCATAGAACTCCTAGATTTTGTGTGGCTAAATTTACATATATTTGATCATTTGAAGTGATTCGTTTTATCTAGTACGTATTAAGAAATATTTGTTGGTATAATTTTTTTTATCTAAAGATACCATTTGACTAGATAATAACAAATAATGTGAATTCTCTTTCTCTTAAAAATGGAATGTACAAATACTGCAGGTTGTGTTGCGAAACTTAACAAGCTTGCAGGTGCGTGATTGTAATAGTTTAACTTTTGTGTTATCGTCTTCCATGGCTAGAAATCGTGTATCAATGGAAGAGATAGTGTCAACAACAGAATATGGTTGTTCTGCATTGAAGGATATAAGGTCATCTGCTATTCCCTGCCAGAATTTAACAACTTTGGAGGTAGTTGGTTGTTGCAACTTGAAATATTTAGCAACATATACGATAGCCAAAACTTTAAAGCGGCTAAGAACAATGAGGGTTGCCAGATGTGAAAGAATGACAGAAATAGGGGCAACGACATCAGATGGAGATGATGCAGGAAATGATGGTGAGATTTCTTTTTGCCAGTTGCAACGTTTGAACCTTTTATCTCTACCAAGTCTGCAAGATTTCTTCTCTGGAAATTGCATTGTCAAATTCCCATCCTTGAAAACTGTAAATATATTCGAATGCCCTAAGTTGAAGATTAACAGCTTTGAGTGGAAGAGTTCCCCAGAACTACAAGGAGTGCAGATAACAGAAGATTATTTGTGGCGGTGACGAGGATGAAGATGATGACTGTTGATGCAGATGATGGTGTTGGTGAGGGTGACGATGTTAATGATGACGGAAGCTATGATGATTCTAACAAAGAGAGCGAAGGTGATGCAGATGTTGCTGATGGATCGTGGTGGTCGTGGCAAAACTACACTCAATACATATAAAGAATTAACTTTGCTGCATAGTTAGTTCTCTTGTTAAGATGTTTGTTATTTTTGTGTGTAATGGTTTTGGGTTTTAACCAAGACAATCTTCTGCCCATTTTAAATTAAATTTCGAATAATTTAAAATAATTTTTTGCTTGATTTTTAGTTTTCATAAGCTGGTGTACCCGCCCGTTATTGCGGTGTTTGAAATATTGTTGAAGGTGTAGAAAGTTCTGAATATATATATGTGCCTAATAGTAGCGTGTACATTCTCTCCGCCAATAAATTGATTAGAACTAAAATTGGCAATATAGTGTTCAAATGTTAATGATACAGCAATAATATTTTGAAGATAAAACGATCAAACGTTAACAACACATTAAAAAAATCGGTCATTTGTACAATTGAGATTTGACTTTGAGAAAAGATCCGTTTGACCATTCTTTTTTTAGGTCCAAGTACCATCCGTGTGATCTTAGTGTTGGTTCTTGGTACAACTATTTGGGAATATAGAAACATTTTGTAAAACAAAGAAGGCGTTCAGCAAATACATAAAATTGAGTGAAATCGGAAGTTGAACATGAAGGAAAACGTATGAAGAAAAACCCTAATTAGCAGTGAAATTATTGAAAGCTAAAGGACAAACCAAAATCTTCACCTTAACTTTGCTTTCTCCCATTAGAATTTTCTTTGCTTTCTCGCATAACATTCACAATAGTAACACCGCTTGACAGTGTTATGATCACAAAATGATAAACAACATACTAAACGGAAGTGACGGTTTGAATCTGGAATCAATGCATACCTGAAAAGCTGATTTAAAATTGGTTATGCTTTTCCCATGCTCGTAACATTTATCATTTGCAATCGGTAAAATTTTCCTGATAAAGGGAAAGCAAGGAGAGTAAGTTATAAGCAAAGTTGACAGACAAAACAGTTCGATGCAGAGAGAGAGAGAGAGAGAGAGAGAGAGCTTACATCAGCTGTGCTCTCAAATACATATGGTAATCTGCATACGAAGAAGCAGTTCTAAATCATCCATTCAGGCCATTAAAACAGTTATAACATCATCTGCACCGGTGAAGCAAATTCTATGGAACGAAACTTGATATGAAATGCATATAGATTACCTTAAATTCAGATTCTATGAATTTGCATTTGACTCCAACCAACATGCATGCTTAGAGGATATATACCATCAAGTATAACAGTCAGTAGACGCTCATACCACCACCAGCACATACAAACACAAAAATGCAAACAGAATTTTGATGAGGCTCGGTAATTCTGAAATATCACCTGTGTTTCGTTCTCAGCAACATTGTCTTGTGAGGAATAGCAACTTTTATGGTTCCGCTCAAGAATTTTGTTCATACTGATCCAAGCGGGAAAACAGTCAAACATTTTAAAGTTATAAATTAGAGGTAATAGATAAATAAAGATTGAGAAATCTGAGTGCGAGATGATAGATGAAATCAGATTGAATAGATCAACTGGTGTTAAGACTGTTTGGATTTTACCATGCGTACATACATACAAAGAAGTTTTGAAAACCGAAAACAAACCGACAGAACTGCAAATGGCTGATCTAATCAATTTCAGATGTCACAAGAATCCACGGATCACTGCAAAACCAACCCAATAACACAATAACAAAACAAACACAGATCAACAATCCCAAAACTCAAATTCTGACGCAATCAAATTAATCCCCTGCCTAGCCTACTAATTTCTCCAAAATTAAAACCCTAAATAAAAAATTAATGCCCATATCCCCAATTTGTAAATCCCTAATTCAAAAGCCCGATGTAACTCCCTAATTCGTTTTATAAATAAGAAATTGCTTACCTTAATGGCTTGAACGCCGGACATAGAGCAGAGAGGATTGTGTTCGACGGCATGGCACGGTACGGTGCGCCGCGGTTCGTATGGAAACAGCTCGTCGGAATTTGAAGACCCAGACCCTAGCAGCTTAACACTTGAAATTGATTTGTTGGTTTCAATCTTCGATTGTGTGGGAATCCTCTTCGTTGATAAGAGGGTTCGAGGTTTTTTGCGATTTCTTTGTTTGAGGTTTACAATTTTTTTTGCGAATTGTGAGCGACAGAGATGAATTTCACCTATTTTTTGGTGAAAGGTGAGTGAAAAAGCAAAAGAAGTAAAAAGAACAAAAAAAAAAAAAAAAAAAAAAAAAAACAAAAACAAAGAGGAAGAGAAAAAGAAAGAGTGATGAAGAAGGGGCCGGTTGTAGAATATAACGAGAATGGAAGGTCTAAAAGAAAGATGGGTAAATTACATTTTGCCCTCAATTTTGAAGTTCATTTTAATTTTTTACAATATTTTTAAAACATTTTAATTTCATACATTTACTTATCATTTTATTTTAATTTTATATATTTATTAAAAAATTAATTAAATAAATCGTAAAATGATGACGTGGCAAAAACAGGATTCACATTTATGCTGACGTGACTATCAAATTTATACCACGTAACGAAAAAATAATTTTTATGCATTTAGACCATCTCCAATAATGGGCTAAATGCCAAATTCCCCCCCCCCAAACCATCTCCAACCCATGCTAAAACATTGGGCTAAATGCCAAATGTTAAAGTTGGGCCAAATTCCCCCCAGATTCCCACCCCCCCCCCCCCGCGCGACTGGACTCGCTGGCCCAAAGGCCAGTCTCGGCCCGCTCACTCGCGTACGCGCCCCACGCGGAGCGCTTGCAGACCGTGCCCGACAGGGTGGGCCCCGCTGTCAGCGGGTTGTCGGCCACCCAACTGAAGTCCAACGGCTATTTTTGCAATCCAACGGATGTGTTTCAAGGACCGTTGGTTGATCCAACGGTCCAAATTCAAATTTGATTTTTTAAAATATGTTATTTTAAAATACATTGAATCCAACGGCTGAGATCAAATATAATCAAATCTAACGGTAAAAAAAAAGATCTAACGGCCCAAATTTAAATCTAACGGTTAAAATAATTAAAAAAAAATTATTTAACTCAAAATTCACCCAAAAACTCTATAAATACCTATGTATTTGTTCAAACATCCACACAAAATATTGGACATATGTTTATATAAAGGATGATTTCTGAAAGTTTGGTGGTGAATGGTTGGTTGAAAGTTTGGTGTTTATATAGTTGGTGAAAGTTGAAAGTTTGGTGTTTATATAGTTGGTGAAAGTTAAAAGTGTGGTGTTCAACGGTTGGTGAATTGAAAATTTGGTGTTCAAAGGTTGGTGAATTGAAAGTTAGCCCAGGGTTGAAAGATTGGTAAAAGTTGACGGCTTGCTTTGTGGGAAATTTAGTGATTTTTCAATATTTATCGGAATTTAAATTTTTTTAGATTAAAATGTTCATAAAATTAATTTACGATAGTCTACATATTTATTTTTTTAAAAAAAATTAATTTAACAAAAAAAAATAGCATAAGTTCATTCTTTAATAATCCCGGGCTAAAATTTTATGCCAGAACGGTTGGAGCAGAAAAGTTGTTTCTGGGCTAAAAGCTAAATTTTCCGGGCTAAAAAATTTGGCTTTTAGCCCAACTATTGGAGATGGTCTTAAAATATAATAATATTTACCTTATTTAAATTATTAAAAAAAAAAAACAAACAACCTAGAAAACGTAGAACCCATCTTCTCCCTCCCTTCCCGACCCCCTCACCTTCACCGAGCCCAAACCCCTCCACCTCCGATGCTCTTCACCGCCACCATGTCCAACCCTCCCTCCCCTCCCTCCTCCTCAACTCCCACCTCGACGCCATCCCCGCCGAGCTCGACAATTGCTTTTTCTGGGTTTGTGTTCTGTAACCTCACCCATCCTCGTCTATCTTTAACCTCACCCATCCTCGTTAGAAATCAAACAACTAAACTCACTTTTCTCCCAACTAACCTAAAACCCTCACCTTCGCCCTGCTAGCTACCACAATCAGTGCTCTCACAAATTAGTGAAATCACAACCACCGTACGTTGATTGAAAAATTCCATGGCTTTCTGAAGCAAATAAAACTTGGGTTGCAGGGAGAAAACCCCAAAAAAATCCCAATTCAACGAAATGGTTGTCCTGGAGACGAAATCTCAAATCCCCATTTTTCTTAGTTCAAAGCTTCAGCTTTCTCTTTAGAATTAGAAATGAATAAAAGTAAAAGATTAATTTGTGGGTAATTAAGAGGCTTGGGTTGTGGGTTTGCAATGATGCACAACTATTGGCTAAAGAATGGATTATTGGTTGTTACAGTGTTGGTGGTTGGAGAAAAAAAAAAAAGAGGAATGTGGGGTGGGGTGGGGCGGGGTTACCTCTCTGTCTTCGACACCCACATGGTGGTCATGGTAGGGAAGAAGTTCAATGTTGGCAAGGTAGCGAGGAGGAAGAACCGCAGCAAAGTCGTTGACTTCGGGGCTTCGTGGGGCTTTAATGTGTTGTTGAACTCAGGGATTGCTGAAGCTCGAGGCTTCGTGGTGGCTGCAGTGTGTTGTCGAGGCTTCGGGGATTGCTGAAGCTCGAGATTTATTGTCAACTATCTATCTTGCAGATTTATTGTCGCAATATAACTACATAGTCTCCTTTAGTTCAAAACCAAAATATCTCAAAAGTTTACGTAACTAAAGAAGTTCACATATTTCATGTGCCATACCTTTATACTTAGCTTCCAGACGACCTTGACACCACTTTCTGCTTCTTACTACACCACGTAACCAAATTACCTCCAACAATCGTAAAATATCTAGATGTAAAGAGTCTGTCAGTAACATTGCTAGCCTAATCTGCATCTGTAAACCTCTCAACTTTTAGATGTTCATGTTTTTTCATAAAGTATTCCTGTACTAGGTGCAGATATGCCAAAATTTGCATTACCGAAGCTATGTGATATTCATTGGGCGAGTGCATACTTCAAAGTGTGAGAGAGAAAACGAATTAACAACAAAACAAGTTCCGGTTTGAGAATTCATACTTCAGAGTGTGAGAGAGAAAACACTGTGATACGACACCGTTGCGTTGTGAACCTCTGCTTTGCTTTTGCATTTGGTACAAGAAGAAGATGCTCAGAAAATGTGGTGGGAAATCGGAGACAGGGAAGCGGGCAACCTCCGCCCAAATTTGTTCTCGAATCGAATCAAGTCGACCTGGATCCGAACTCTCCAACTCTCCAATCACAAAGACATCATCTCCCGTCACCGAGGCTCCGTCAACTCTCTCCAGCTCGATTTGACGGAGGGCCCGTACCTGTTATCCGGCGCCTCCGAAGCTTCCACCGCCGTGTTCGATGTCCAGCGCGGGACCGATTATGGAGGCGGAGCTATCACGAGGCACAAGTGCCTCTTTGCGGTGGATAAGCAGCACGAGCGCGGGCATAAGTACGCGGTGTCCTCCGCCGTGTGGTATCCCGTCAACACCGGACTGTTTGTGACGGGTTCGTACGATCATCACATCAATGTTTGGGACACGAATACGACTCAGGTAGTGATGGACTTCAAGATGTCGGGAAAGGTGTACCGGACTGCAATGTCGCCGTTGGCAACTTCTGACATGCTCATTGCTGCCGGAACCGAAGATGTTCAAGTCCGCCTCTGTGATATTGCCTCTGGGGCTTTTGCTCACATCTTGTCTGGCCACCGCGGTATGTCCCAAAATTCACAGAATTTGACGTTTGATGCACACCTGATACATAGAAAGTTAGAAAATTTAAGCTTCTTATCATGGTTATGTGAACACATGAAAAAGAAAGAGTGATGAAGAAGGGACGGGTTGTAGAAAATAATGAGAATGGAAGGTTTAAAAGAAAGATGGTAGAGATGGTTCTTTGGGGGAAATTGTACGAGAAGATCAGTGGTGGGTTGAAATAAAAATTATATAAAAATGAGTGTCATAGAAGAATAGAGTGGTTGGATCAACACGAAGAAAACATAAAAGGAGTCTGATTGTGTAGAGAGGGTGGAGGGGGGGATAGACGAAGAAATACTTTTAATACTACATTATATTATTTATCCTTTAGGTTTACAATATAGGTATATACACCTTATTCTATAAGGAAAGTAATTACAAAATATAAAGACACTAAATCCTAAAGATTACAGATTTTAATCCTACTTAAAATAATACTCCAATAACATTTACAATTAAGTCTCAAATCAACATTCCCCCTCAAGTTAGTACATAAATATCATACATGTCCAACTTGATAATTGAGTCTTGAAAAACCTTACTAGATACTGCATGAGTAAGAATCAGCCAACTGCTCTCCTGAATTCACAAACGGTATAGGCATAATTTTCCTTTCAAGAATTTCCTTAATAAAGTGTCAATCAACCTCCACATGTTTTGTTCAATCATATTCCGAATTGTCAGCTATCTTCCTTGCAAATTTATTGTCATAATATAACTCCGTAGCCTCTTTTGGTTCAAACCAAGAAATCTCAAAAGTTAACGTAACCAAAAAAGTTCACATACTTCTTGTGCCATACCTCTATACTCAGCTTCCGCAGACGACCTCTGCTTCTTACTACGTCACAGAACCAAATTACCTCCAACAAACGTAAAATACACAGATGTAGACCGTATGTCAGTAACATTGACAGCCCAATCTGCATCTTTAAATCTCTCAACCTTTAGATGTC